CCACTGAAGGGATTTTGATGAAATTTGGTGTGATGATAGCTGGTTATCCGGGTCAGCATATACTTTTTACTGCGAAAAAATATCTCATTTCTGAGAAATTTATACTAAACGTTAAAACGCAAGTAGGGACGAACCCGAGCGGAGCGAGGGTGAGTCGTTAGCTTATTATAGTTATCGAGTATTGGAAGTAGTACTTGCCTATAGATAACTACTGCTATCTGGGGTTTATGTCTCATCCATCTTAACACCTCCAGGTAAATTTCTAAGAAATCTATTGTTTACTGTAACACCGGCGTGTCCGCGGTCGTGGAGGGATTAATATTTAAAAAGCTATACATAGCTTACATGTACAGATATACGTATCTGGATCTACATGAAAATTTAAAATGAACCACGAACAAACACAATCTATTAATTGATCAATCCTTGTAGCCCATGTATTAAAAGCTCTTTCGTTTCGGTAATATTACGGTTGAATTGTTGTGCATGGGCCGAGCAGGTTCATCGGGAGTTGGTCTCGAGTTAAAGAGCGGACACGCAAACCCGATTTGAGCGTCTGGCGCTCCCACTCGTCGCTTCCTAGACGTATGTACCTACTAATGAATTGTATGGTAGTTGTTAGCGCACTAATCTGTCGGACAAACCCGTATGTAAACGATGGCTGCAACCTGAATTGATTTATTGTATCTACTCTGTAGTCTTTACACCGCATTGAAGGGTCTTTAACCCACTTGTTTTTTTAACCCCCGACGCAAAAAGAGGGGTTTTATAAGTTTGACGTCGATGTCTGTCTGTCTGTGTGTTGGTGTGTGTCTGTCTGTGGCATCGTAGCTTTCTAACGGATGGAACGATTTCGATGCGGTTTTTTTTCATTTGAAAGCCAGTTTCCTTGCGGTGGTTCTTAGCTATGTTTGGTTAATATCGGTCCAGCAGTGTAAGAGTATCAATTCCTTGAACTATAAGTATTTTTGCGTGGGGGGTTTTAAAATTTTTAATTTAATTTTTTGTACTTGGCCAACGTAATGAACTATGGCCTTATCCTATATTGAAAGGAGGCTCCTGTGTAGCAGTGGAACTTTAAATAAGTCTAAATATATAGTAAGCAACTCCGCGGTTCAAATTGATAGTCGGCATATATATAGTACATAAAATTACAACATAATTGTTTGATTTTTTTCTACTGCACATCCTGTTGCAGGCATAGTGCAACTGCAGGAATAGTTTATTAAAGCCATAGAAAACTAGAATTACTACCATTTTGAGTTTCTATTACTATATTCTTCATGTTCCGTCTATCTTCTTTTTTTTTTCTTATGAGTTATTAGTTAATTATAATAATTGGTTTTACTAGGTACATTAATGGTAGGATACGTATACAGTAAATAAATCTAGAGAGAGTATAAAATAATTTGTCACGTCTTTTGTGCGCTACGTCTTGTTTTACCCAGCCTGTGGCAAATTTTCGTCACTAACTGCTATGTGTCATTGCCCTGGCCCTGCTACGTATGAGATGCTACTATACAGTAGAAACATGAAACTTTAACTACCTACACCTCTTTGACCATTTGGATATCGAATGAGTATCCGAATGTTTTTTATACTAAGATTGGTATAACACACCGACGATACTAGTCGGAGAGCTGATAACGAATTTTAGGCAGATATTATAGGCAATTTGAAATTATAAAAAACAGTAAATTTATGATGTAGGGAATATGGAATGGAGAGTCGTGAACGAGGTTTGGGGTTATTTTGCAACTGCACTTCGTGTGACGTTTGCAAGAAATAATCGTCAAAATGTTCCGCTAAAATAAAAATTAAATAAACAATAATGATAGACTACAAAATTGGAATTGAAAGTGTGTAATATGAAACTACTTATTTCCAACATTAAGACATCTGTCGATTCTCTTTGAATCAAATCGCGTGAGTTCGAAACATCCACTTGTCTCTGGTCGGGTGGCGTGTGTTCTCATGGGCCGCTGAATATTTCAGCAGCTCGCGAGGAACAAATTACAGACTGTATCAACCCCCACGTCTTTTACAATTACACGTTCCAAGTCTGGAAAGAAAGTCGGCAAGGACAATTAGGTCACTGCTGCATAATTGTCCCAACAGCCGCGAAGTTCTCACAACTTAAATGACACACTGCATTGTTGTAAAACACCTGCTTGTATCTCACAGATATTTAGCATATCTTATTAGTTTTGTTTGATTTAGTTATATAATGTCATAGATAGATACATAATACATAGTATCTTTTCTTTAATAGTTTTTTAAATATGGAACGTTAATTTTTAATAAGCCAGTATCGTTTGTTAGTTTTTGTCCTAGTGGCACGTTTCAAAGAAAATACTTACAGTATATGTACCTTTTCAAAAAATCATCTCAACGTATAGATTAAAAGAATGATATAATTAATGAAAAAATAACGAACAAAATTATATAAAACGGTTATTGTGGGATTGCCGGATTAAAGGACATTAATCCATACATAATATAATAAAATTCTGAGTCCAATCTGTACATTAAATAGTTTTTGAAAAATCTTATTGAAATAGTCATTATTATCGATACAGAGGCCGAATCTATAGTTTTTATAATTTTTGTCTGTCTGTCTATGATCGCATCACGAGAAAATCACTGGATAGATTTTGATGAAATTTGGTATGATATAGCTGGTTATCCGGATCAACATATAGGATACTTTTTACTCGTCTCTGAGAAATCTATACTAAACGTTTAAACGTAACTAGGGACAACTCGAGCAGAGCGAGGGTGAGTGGCTAGTATGTATATAAATTCTTCCTCGAAGTTCGTTTTGTTGATGTCTAGTTGCCTTGGAAACGATTGTCTTCGACATGGACTCATCAGCTATTAGCTATTGACAAATAGGCGGTTATCTACTATACTTATTGATTCCTGTATGTACCCACTAATGTCCAAACATAGCATGCGTGCTCTGTATTTGATCGTTACGATTATTTCTATTGATTGATCAAGTAATCGTCTACTGTAAGTCATTTTCGATGTCATAACCACTGATTTAATATATAGATTAAATGGAAATTGATGTTTTAGTGGAGTTATTTGATGTACTATACTTTAATAATACTTATATACTTAGTCTAATTGTTTAATTACTTAAAAATCATGTACTATACTTTTATACGTAGAACATCGAGTAAATGTGAAAATGATATATGTATTAGATGCCCCTTTGATCACTTAACTACATTTTAATTTGTTTAGAAATCTCGATAAACCTCTATTGACCTAAAATATTTTTTAATTTTGTAATCACTATAGTGATTTTTATAATAAAAAATACGGAAATATTAATAATAAACACGGTTTTAACCAACTGTATTTTAATGCACTCGTAAAAACGAATCAAAGTCCTTACTCAAAATAATTGAGATGAGCTATCGACTTGACTCGCAACATCAGATCAGCTAGCTGCTAGATAATATCACATTATTGTATTGAAATGTGAACGGTTGGTTAAAGTGTTATAATTTTTTTAAGTAAAGGACTGCAACGAAAACTAATTTTTCTTAATAAATATTATTATATTACATAAACATATTACACATAATTCAAAGTACCTGGGCGAAGTTCTTTTTTGTTTTATCTTTCTTTTTTAGATGATAATCTATATAACTTAAAAATTAAAACGTAAACTGATAAGATAAAATTTTAATTTTTAATTTGGCTTAAAATCAAAAAAAAAGACACAAAAGTAAAATATTTGTGTCCGACCGGGTTCGAACCCGGACACCTGTGATTGTCAATCTTGTGCCTTGGCCGCTTGCCCACGATACTTATGCCTACATAAGACTAGATCGACTTTTCGCCCCCGAAAACCTCCACATTATATCAAATTTCAGCGAAGTCAGAGCCGTTTCCGAGATCGCCATTATATATAAATAAATAAATAAATAAATATAGAACTGCTCATTTAAAGGTATTAGATAATAAAAAATAGTTGACATAGCTTCTGACGTCACATTTTGTTTCAAACTATGCTGAGTTTCATAATTATGAATTTATGCGCATACTTTGCACTTGCTAAAATAATAATTAAATAAATAATTGAAGAGAATATAGTGTTCAGTCAATAAAAAATATAGGGGAAAAAATTCGAGTCAAAATATTATTTAACTGGCGCTGCTATATGTACCTATACCATACCTTCAATAATTTTGTTTGATATAACAATAACTCACGTAATAAAATAACGTAGTAACAATGTAATATGTTAGTTTCATGCAATGAAAATCAAGTTGATATTTTGCTTTTATTTGAAGAGGTACAACTCATGATTTTAAACATTTTATTTTATTTGCCGAACTATGAGAAATTTTACAGGTCAATTTTGTGTAACGTCAGTTAAGTTTTGGCACAGACTTCAAAGAGCATATTAAACATCATGAACGAAGAAGTTTGTAACCATACGGAGATGGGGGAAGGATGAAACTTATATTCTATGGACTCTATGTTACATTGTAGAAGTATAAAAGTTCCAACTAAAATAATAGTATTTTATCCTTAGTCTTTATATAAACGCGAATTAAGTTTGTTTTCTACCTCTGTGTGGTTTATGATTCCTCATAAATAAACTCTAAATGGAAGTAATTTTTTTACCAGTCAATTAGTTAGGATCCGTTGGGATACAGATATATTACAATTGTCATATGATGGCTTTTCATAATACATGCGGGGTAGTCGTTAAATTTAGGCGAAACGAAAAGAGGACGCTGGAATAGAAATCTCATTTCATGAACAATGATCATCCAAATTTTTTTTTTACTTAAAACTATTGCTTTTTTTTTAATAATTAATCATACAAGTATATCGAGGTTCTTCTATTTAGATACTGCATTGAAATCTATGCAGTCTAGAATTAGGAGTATTTTTCTTTACCGCCGGCGTGTAGATTGGCTTAAGACAGTAGAGCCTTGCGGTGTGACTTGTTAAGTCGTCGTTTCCGGGGCACAATGAGAGGCAGGGGTGTTGTCGGCGAAGTGGTGCGCATGTGCAGTGGCGGCGCCCTGGAGTCTCGCAGGCCTGTACTAACGCCCGTGCGAAGCCCGAAAGATGCCAGTCGACCCGCGCACGCCTCTTGCGGTGGACGCTTAGGAATAACTATCAATATGACTAACGCGCTACCTTATCACACACATTATCATGTAGGTCTCGATTAAAAGGCGCCAGTGAAAATATTTTTATTTCTCCATAATCCGACAATAATTCACTTTTTATTGTTCTAGGTACTAACCACCTTGTCCTAAACGTGCCGTTAGAATAATAGGTGAGTATTTTACCCGCTCTTTTTGAACACACCTTTTTGTAATACGGAATTAGCGTTGATGTATGAGTTTTTAGTTAATTTACATTATCCTATCAAAAATAACTTTTTTATTACATTGAAATATTCTTATAACAGAAGTTTATTTTTTATTTTAATAACTAATTGCTTTTTAAATTAAATTATTTCTGCAAATAAAAAGGATAACACATTTCACTTCTATAAAAGTTATTTTAAAGTTTTATAATATCTAATTGCCATCTGTTTGTAAGGTAGATTAAACGTTCGTAGCAAGACAGCTGGTAGTGACATTTGGGGCGAGTCCTTTTTTACTTTTTTTTTTTTTTGCGTAAAGGTCCATAGATGTTTCTTTGTGGGACGAACACCTGCTAAAGAGTAGCAGAGCGAGTCCGCCTCCAAGACCCATTTACCTATTATTTGTTCGTCACGTTTAATCAATATGAATAATGTGTTAATAGTCACTTTTTTAATATACACATTGTGTGCATGCTTAACTTTTACCATAATGCTTGACCTACATTTTCATAAACATGATAAGCTGAAATATAAAGATACATTATAATATATGGACCATTGAACTTAAGTAAATACCTTTGAATGACGATTATAAGATTGCTTATAAAGTTCTTCAATCTCCTTCACCTTACGTATTTATATTTTCATGTCCTTTTATTCTTATCTGTTTAATTTAGGGCGTAGGAGCGATTTTGAGCGGTTTCAGCTATTGTGATGCGCGCGAATATCGTACAGTTGTAGCGTGGTGGGCGTACGTGTCAATGACCCCGCTCACCTGCTGCTCGGAAGCGAATTAGCATATTTGGGCAGATTTGGCCCATTGTAACATTTACAATAACAACATACTTCCTCAATGGTCCAATGCTTTAACGTCTTGAATTGTAAATTGGATTACCTAAGTTTTAATACCCTTACTTTGAGCTATTTTAATTGTTTTGAATTATATTCTAAGCATTTGCACGCGGCTTAACCCATTTTGCCCCTTTAAGGGTGAATTTCTAAAATTCCTATTTCATTGGACCTACTCCCTATAATCTATCACAAGCTCGTAAGGCAGTTCTGCTGAGAAGAGCCGGCGGAAACCTCAACACTTGCTCTTTTTTACCCGACTCCGCCAGAAGGAGGGTTATGTTTTTTGGAGTGTATGTATCGAAGAATATATATTTCTTTGGCACTCTGTAGCCTATTTGGCTTGATCGAATTTCGCTAGCTTGAGAGGTGTTATTATATTCGACATAATTGTGAGAGTGACACTGGGTATATAATAATTAAAATAGCCGGATTTTTTACGACATATTACGACTTCAAAAATTTTTTCCTCAAAACCTGTCGAGTGGGGTATCAAAATAAAGGGTTTTATAAATGGCTAACAAAAATATATACAACTTATATGTTTAAATGTAATTTAGAATGATATGTTTTTTACGCTATCGGGTTTTTTTATTTTTCTAAATTTTACTTACATTTTGGCATATTGTTTTGGGTAGTTTTTAAGTACCTAATAAACTGTAATGTTTCTTTAGGCACCTAAAATAACCACCTTTGCTAACAATTTTATTGTATGTAAATTTCTGTATTTTACATATAACTGTTTACTCTTTACGATTTATTTCAATGCCTACTGTATGGGTTATTATATATGTATACGTAAATTTAAAACTATTTTCAGTTTATCTAATTACAAGTGTTTCGCATTCACATTTGATATCCTGACATTATTATAATAAACTTTTTTCCATACGTAATCGACATAACACTGGCAAATTTTTGCAACTGAAATACTTCATATAGCTTATGACAACGATACTCCGCAAAAATATAGGTACACTGATATCTTCTCTATTCTACGCGTAACACGACATTAGCTGAGTGAGCTGTGTCAATTGGTACGCTTAAACGCCACAAAACACAATTGAATGGAATAATACTTATATAATATTTCAGGCAGTGGTAGCCCAGTGGTAACGCGCTCGCTTAGGAAACCGAGTGAAGCGGGTTCAAATCCCGGGTCTCGCACCTCTGATATTTTTATGTGCGAATCATTTCTAACATGATTACCACTTGCCTTACGGTGAAGGAAAACATCGTGAGGAAACCTGCATGTCTGAGAGAACGTAGCAAGTTTTCGAAAGACATGTGAAGTCCGCCAACCCGCACTTGGCCAGCGAGGTGGACTATGGCCTGATCCCCCTCGTATTGAAGGGAGGCCCGTACCCAGCAGTGGGACGTTAAAAAGGGCTGAATAGTGAATACATACATACAATCCTTATTATGATATCATTCATTTATTATATTGATATTATACAGTCTCGGCTGCATCACCCAATATCTTCTACAATAATCTATGATATCTGTATCATCTTCATATCAAGTAATTTAAGTAATTTAAAAACAAACTTAAGTAATTTAAAAACAAAAATAATATTTTTAACATTTTTACTATATAAGTGGTGTATCCCTTTGATGTCAAGCAAGTTGTAGGCGGATAATCTAATAGTCTATCTAAAATTGCTTTCACTTTCGCGCTGACATATTCAGGTGAAATATTTGTTAATGTAATATTACGCAGGCACAAATACCAAAGTAAATTTGATAGGATCAGCGAGGCAACAGTAAATCGCTGTCTGTTAATTGTTTGTTGGTTTGTAATAAACCGGGCGGGTAGCGGGATCGATACTCTTGCGGCGTACCGGCGCCAGTTTGCATCCCTCGATGATTGACTTTCTTCTTAATCTCAAAAGCAGAATATTAAGATAAACATCTTTACTATATTTAATTAACCTATGAATGATTTTTTTAGGAATTTGTTACATTTTTTAATGTCCTTAACAGATACAATGAAACGTGACGCTTATGGCGACGATGGTCCTATGCAAAAACGTCACCGACATACTGACGATGAAGTCACTTTTCTTATACCGAGCAAGGTGAGATACAATGCTAAAGCTGCATGCTTTAGATGGTAAGAAGACTTTAGATTGAAGTAAGGGCTTAGTTATAATTATTAGTTTCTGAAATAGGTAAGCTGCAGGTGTAAGTTGACAAATGCCTCGGCATAAAATGTCTATTACATGCAGGTCTCGGAATAAAAAATAATTTATTCATAGATTCACTATAATTCGTTTGTTAGCAAGGATATATTTAGATATTTTACATATTGATATATTGTCGCCTTTGATAACGAAAAAATGTATGTATATACTATTATATATATTTATATTGCAAGTAAATACTATTGTAAGTAGTAAATATATATATATATATATATATATATATAATGTACATGTAAATATATTTGGGTGGTTGTTTTTATCAAACAATGTATATAGTTAAATCAGGTAATATATTTAAATTTACAAATAGCGCTTTGATCTAAGACGTAAAAGACGTAGACGTAGAATTCAGGCTTACAATTATTAGTCTGTTAGGCGTAGATGTAATTAAACGATATTAACTTAAAACAATCAAGTCCAGTCAATATAGAAAAAAACGGTGAAATCTACATAAAATAAAGCATTTCCGCGATATTGCGATTCGATAAAGGGACATTTTCTAAACCTAAATAAGGGAAAAAAAAGCAGAAAGGGGTCGCTCGAGAGGCACTGGCGCCACTATCGCGTAAAACCCGTTTAATTCAATGTCTCCAGGCTCATCCTACGTAAAAATATTTTCTCTTTTAAATTAAATTTAATATATTTTTTATTTAAAACTTTCTAAAATTAATATTTCTCGAGATATCGCGCTCGAAACGCACAAATTTCGCTACATTTCGCTAAGAAAAGTTTCTATAGTTACATAGGGTGAGCCGTTCTGGGAATACTGAATCAAACGTCTATCTTCTATCTTAAAAATCTTGGCTTTAGGCTTAGGAAATGCCCCTTTATCGAATGGCAATATCGCGAAAATTGTGTTAAGTATTTTATGTAAATTTATTTATCTATTGACTGGACTATCTATCATAATCGCATTTTATTTTAACAATCTTCAATATTTAATCGTAGGTGGCAGGCTCGATTATCGGGAAAGGAGGTTCCAATATATCGAAGTTAAGGAATGAGGTCAGTATTTATTTCATTATTTATTCATTTTCATTGATCGATGAAAATGGATACGCATAGTAGGTATATTTATTTAGATAAATAAGAGAATAATAACTGATATAATTTTGTTACAAGTTAATATAAGCTATTTTCTATTTTAATTCAACAATTTCATATTTTTTACAGTTTGTTTTATAATTTTATCTGTATTTTCTTAAAGGAATCAATGACAAATTAATATATATTTTTTTATTTTAGTAATTAAGTTACATTACAGACATTAGAGTAAGTAAATAAGTTTGTTACCCAAATCAACTTAATAGAATAACATTTTCTCACTACAGGTGCAAACGACCAATCTTACTAAAATGAACCGCTCTGTGCTTTTAAGTGGGTAATGCGTTAACCATACCCATGTCCATTACCTTGGGCTTTGTTAATCTTTGTAATTCTGAAGCAGCGTATGCTTCGGTGGTCGGAGGACCATCGGGTGTCGCGTGCGGCAGTAGGCTAGTAATAACCCCCCGGCAGCCAGTTACAGGTTCTTACTGCCCCCGAGACGCCTCTGTGTCAGTAGCGCGACGCATCGCGCGCCTCTCTATACTCTCACGTGTTTTTACCATTTTCAATGACCATTATTATACATACTTGATCATTTCATATTTTACTACACAAAATTTAACACCCACCATGGTTACTGTCATTTTGAATCATCTGAAAAAAATTATTAACATTGAAAATGGTATTGTATATGCAGTGGTCTTAATATTAGCAGTAAAAAGATAGCCAATGCAAATTATTTTTGGAAAGCTTGTTAAAAGTGTCTTAAACATACATGTCATGTGCATCGTCCACTGCGTATACGATGTCGTGTGAGAGCGCGAGGCGCGTGGTGCGCCGCTACAGCTACTCTTGGTTGCCGGTCCCGCCCTCCGGACGCCGCGCCCCGCACCCGCCGCCCCGCCACGCAGTACAAAGCCTCTATAACAGTCCCAGATTGCCCCGGCCCTGAACGGTAAACTATATCGCCAAACTACTCTTCAAAACCTTACAGCCCGCCCGTCAACAGTCAGGAGAACACTAGCCGCTTCACACCCAAAGATCCCCTCACGACGGACTATGTCTGACATTACCCGACCTCCACATTTCTAGACCTCAGTGTCGTCCTCTAGCAGCTAAATTATTTTAGTTGAAAACCTGAAATTCCCTACACTAAAATGTTTTTATTATTGTGTAAGGCTATCACGCTTTGTATGACCGATAAGATGCCTCCCTGACCGTTGATTTATTACACCGTCAATAATAAGTATTGTGATGTGAATTTTATTCGCAAGTCCCGTTTTTGATGTGGCGTAACGGAACCTTTGATTTTCAGAGTACTGTCCATAACGGCGTCGGATATCGACACGATTATGGAAATTGTAAAAGACATTCTTCCAAATTTGGCTGATGTAAGTATAAAAATGTTTTTTTTGCGCTCTAAAATAGAAATATTTTTACTTTATTACGATCAGTTGTTAGTAAACAGTGGAACTGTTTTTATACATTTCATTAACATCGTCCAATTTAATCGTAAGATTTTTATATGCTATATTTCTCGAAAGTAATTTAGGCGGACAATTCAAGAACCCTTAACTTACATACATGTAATCAAATTCGCTAATAAAAAAATATTTATTAGGGGAGTCCAAAAGGCAGTAACAACGACGATCTGGACATCCGTCTTCTTATTCATCAGAGCCGAGCCGGATGCGTCATTGGCAAAGCGGGAACGAAAATTAAGGAACTAAGAGAGGTAAATATAAAATACTAGCGACTTACCCTCCCTCCGCTCGGGTTCGTCTATAGATACGTTTTAACGGTTGGCATAGATTTCTCAGAGATGAGTAGTAGAGATATTTTCTCACAATAAAAAGTATCCTATATGTTGACCCGGATAACCAGTTATCATCATACCAAATTTCATCAAAATCTGTCCAGTGGTTTTCTCGTGATGCGTTCCCAGAGAGACAGACACACAACAAAAATTCTAAAAAATAATAGATTTGATTAACTGTATCGATCATAATGACTATTGCAATAAGATATTGCAAAAAATATTTAATATACAGATTCGGCTCAGAAGTGGAGTGTGGATATTGATGTGTTGTAAATAAGTTACTAAAGGACGTGCGAAGTAGGTGAAGGCTCCAAATAATTTCGTTTTGCCAAGTTTTTATAACAATTAAATGGTCACCCAATTAAGGATATTTTTATAGACTCTGTGCTTAAACGCTTACTTTCTGCTAAATATGTAATAATTTGCCAGAATAGGCATAATTTTTAAAAGTGAAAATGTTTATCGAAGTCGTTCGCAAAATATTATCAACTAGCGACTTACCCTTGCTTCGCTCGGTTTCGTCCCTAGCTTGATTCCTCATACAAGCTTTCATCCCCATTGTCACCCACTTAAGTGATGATTTTCGGGATAAAAAGTATCCTATGTCATTTCCAGGGTATATCTTCTTACCAAATTTCATCTAAATCGGTTTAGTAGATCCAGAGATTAACCCCTACATCTACAACGTTACAAACTGACAAACTTTACCTCTTTGTAATATGAGTATAGGTTAGTTCAGATTATTGTAAAAAAGAAGGTAACACATAGGGAGAAGTAAGAATTATTCTAATACTAGCATTACCCGCGGCTCCGCACGCGTTCAGATGACCAAAACCAAATTCTTAGGTTTTACATATTAGTATATTCTTACAATGCAGTATTTTTTTCAGAAATGAGATATTTTCCCACGGTAAAAAGTATCCTATATGTTGACCCGACTAACCAGCTATCACCATACTAAATTTCTTCAAAATCCCTTTAGTGGTTTTTCTGTGATGCGGTAACAGACAGACAGACAGACAGACAGACAGACAGACAGACAGACAAAAAGTCTAAATACTATAGATTCGGCCTCCGTATCGATAATAATGTCTATTTCAATAAGATTTTCCAAAAAATATTTAATGTACAGATTCGACTTAGTTAGAATTTTATTATAATATGTATAGATAAGCTGCGACCTTTCAACTATAGAATTCTGCGTAGTGTTCTTAACACGTGTAAGACGCGCAGTACACTGCACACGTATAATTAAAGGCGAGCAAACATCTGCTTGATTTTCATCTGTCGAAGTGCGAGCAGTAATGAAGAGATTTTTTCTTTCGATGTAACGTTTCGGAGCAGCAGATGTGAAAGCAGCTGCCGCCCGTATCCCGTCTTATCTCAATCCGACGGATGTTTTAGATAATTTACCTAGTTTTTTTATTAAAAATTTGTCTACATAGAAATGCATCTGCTTGCGTTTATGTAAGAAAGTATTTCTTCCCAAATAATAATAGGTGTACTTGTACATATGCGTATGTATAATATGTATAACTAATTATTCTAGGTAAATTAAATTTTCTAATTTCCATCTTTATTGTTATTTTTTCAAATAACAATAAAGATTGTTAAAATGATTCGTCAATACTTCCCTTACAACTTGATGACTCTCGACGATATAACTAAAATAAACAATGAAAATGCGCCTAGCCGAAATCTATTGCCGATGAACGTAATAAATTGATAACTCTACAGACAATTTATCGAATAACCAACGCTTGTGGTACGCGTTTCGATTTGATCAAGTTAAAAAGCTTTGGCAATTTGTCATCGTGTGGATACGTAGGAAATAACATGAAAGCGCTCACAACTCCTCACTTTACGAGCACTACGGGGTGCATCGCAACGATCAATTACCAAGAGCTAACTGTACTGCGGAAGCTTTAAAATGTTCGGTTCTACCAACTTTGCAATCTCGCTCGTATTGTGTTTCAAAACTTGGGCTAAGTCACTTATGTTCATATTATTTGTTTTTTAACTACACAAACGATAGATAAAGCTCTATAAGTTAGCGCAATGCTATTAAAAGTATATAAATTAAAAGTATGTAAATGGGGCGTCGCAGGATCGCTTACGCATTCAACTACGACGCCCCGACAGCAGGTCTGCCAAAGCAGACCACAACAACCACGGGGTTGCTCTAAGGTCCACTCTGCTATCAGAGAAGTACCAGGAGCAACCCGCATGGTACACCGCCCTCTGAAGAGGGCCACCTCCCACCGCCCACCGAAGTGGGCCACCTCCCTGTGCGTTTCTTGGCTTCGCGCCCGGTTGGGTTGCCGGGCACTACTGAGCCCCCCCACCACGACAAGGTGAACGCATGTTGGGGGGGAAAAGTATGTAAATCCATACTAATATTATAAATGTGAAAGTGTGTTTGTTTGTATGTTTGTTATTTTTGTGTGGAGATAGTTGGAGGGCTGGAGAGTAACATGGGCTACTTTTTACCGTAGGAGATTATCTAATTCCCACGGGAAAACACGTTATAATACAATTCAAAAAAATATTTGTGATCAGTATTAGGTACTTGAAACTTGGTTTGAATGCTCTTCAATAAAATTAAATAAACACGTGTTTTAACATTTTTCGAAATTCATCCTATAACGGAGTTACATAGGGGATGAAAGTTTGTATGAAACTACCTTTTTATAGAGGTTTTTTTGTAGTTTTAGCGCGAGCGAAGCCGCGGGTTCTGCTAGTATTTTATATTGCGCTTTATATCGATAACTTAGAGTGATCGATCGATGAAATCTGAAACTTAAATCATGTGTAGTTTACATGTGATAAAAGTTTTGTTTGTGTATAGAACTCAACAAACCTGCCCTAAAATATCTACCAGATCTTCTTAACATTATGTACATATTAATTCTTATACAGAAAATATTTAATTAAATTCCAACCAATAAATAAAAACAGTTAATCATCCCCATCGATCAGCTGTCGTATATTCAGCCTCATATGCCCTTAGTTTGCTCATCGAATCTCCGGCCGTAAGGCTTCCTTCACTAAGAATTTGCATTTTTTGCCCATCCTATAAGATTGGTTTATATTTAAGATAGTATTTTTTGTTACTGATCAGCTGTTCCCATACATATCCTTTGTTGCAAATTTCTTGAGAGTCAATGGACTCTACCTGTGAGGACAAAACGCGCAGTAAATAGAATTCTCGTAAATTCATATATCGTATAATAGAATACGGTCGATACCCGTTTTAAATGTCGTATAATCAATAGATTCACATCGATTGTGATTTTTATGTAAGTATATTTTGTATCGAAGCCAGTTTTATATATCGAGTTAACATAGAAGAAAGAATTGTAGAAAGTATGAGGTTTTAAAACCCTACCATTATTTTTAACGTTTTATTTTTTATATTTCAAATCGAGATTGTCTTTTATGGTGTTTATATTGTTCGTTGGTAAACATGTAAACTCCTCCATGTTATTTAAATAATTTATCTTTTACATATAATAAAATTCTAACTGAGTCGAATCTGTAAATGAATTATTTTTTGGAAAATCTTATTGAAATAGACATTATTATCGATACAGAGGTCGAATCTATAGTTTTTAGATTTTTGTCTGTCTGTCTGTCTCTATCTGTTACCGCATCACGGAAAACCACTGGAGGGATTTTGATGAAATTTGGTATGATGATAGGTGGTTATCCGGGTCTACATATAGGATACTTTTTATTGCGGGAAAATATCTCGTTTCTGAGAAATCTATACTAAATGTTAAAACGTAAGCAGGGACGAACCCGAGCGGAGCGAAGGTGTGAGTTTCCAGTACTTAATATGGCAACTAACAAAATTTAGACCAGACTCTTGTCTTCTTCATCGCTTTCTTTCGAATATTTGACAATTTAAATAAAACTATTTTTGAAGTTATACTTCTTTTGGCACGTTTGGAAAAAATATGAGATTAAAATTTTTACATGCATGCATTCCTTTTGCAAACAGAGAGTTTTGCCATACAGGATGAAATCTTTGGCTATTTTTGTTCTGTTACGCTAAAGAAGTATAATTTCTTACGTGCGTACATGAGTACATACACACGTTTTTTTTAATGCTTTTCAACAATCATGGTCACTCGACAGACGGTTTATACCATTCAAGAAAATTGAACATTTCTCTTATAAACAATAGAGACAATGCACTCGTAATATGTTATTTTATATTAAGTACATATATTCTTGCAATGTGTGGGTCGTATACCAAAGCCAAGAGCAAGGCAAGGAGTCGCGCGTGCGAGGGCGGCAGCTGCCGCGGCAGGTGCTCGCGCAGCCGCGCCGGAAGGCCAACAAAAACGCGCCTCGCACCTGGGCACCGCGCTCTACCTACTTGCACAATGCTGTGCTCCATTCTGACCTCGCTAAATAGAAATTTCGAACACATGCCCCGCGACCCACCGTCGATCTTTCAATCGGGAGCAGGTACGCGCTCTACGGGTTTCCTCCCAATTGTCGCTTCTTTGTTCAATGCGCTATTGCAAGCCATTATACAGATTGTAGATATAACTTTAATGTTATACGTTATGTTTCCAATGTTCTAGCTTTTCTTTAATTGCACAGTTTTAAATTTAATTAAAAGCCACTAATATAATATTTTACTTCTTGTAACAAAGATTTCAGGCGAAACCGTTTCTATTGTTCGTTTCGAATGCTCTGAATTCATGCAAAAGTTATTCGTTTTTGAGGTTTCCTTACGACTTCATTGTTTTCAATGGCAAATTTTATGTTTGGTGCGCGCTTAAAGTGAATGTCTAGCTGGCCTCTAGGTGTCGTAATTAAAGGGTGGTTGAACACGTGTCGGTGGGGTTTCATCCGTCGGAAGCGGCGCCGCGCTAGAGTTACGTGCACGTGACGCGCGGGAGGTTTTTGTTAACCACCTCGACATCCTTCAAACTTGTATACAGATATGCAATGTTGAAATTAAAAGAACGGAAATCGTCGAGCATTCATTTTTTTTAGTCCAATTGTCTTTGTTCACGTTGTTTCTGGTTAATTAGAAATGATTACGTTCGACGAGCTTTTATACGTTCAAGTTATATGTAATAGCTAGAAATAGCAGATAATATATTTACGATTGGACGGAATAAATAGACTTTCCATTCATAAATATAAACCTTAAAATCTTTGTAGAAGTCTGCCAACATAGAACAATTAGTAAAAAAAATGGAAACGATCGATTTCCTTTATTACTGTTCATATATAATGCCCATCAATGTCTTTATATATATATTCCATTTAGGCCCATTACAGTAGTAGTAAAATTCCCGCGGGCTGTGTAGGTGTAATTTGAACCGGTCACATATGTCGCCCAACGTAATTACAGGCGATGTCGCGGTGACACCGGCAATTAGGCGCGCGGGCACGCGAGCCCGCTTCCGTTTCCGATCGAACTGCCGCGGTACGGCTTCTCTACCATCGAATAACCTAGCTATCGACCCATTTACATAAACCAAATAATCTGTTGTACTTTGAATTATTTCGCCATTCAAAACTCATTATGTCCAAGGCAAACCCTTACTTTGTTCCTGACTTATCGATCTGTCGCTTTGGTGTCTTCCAGCCTAAATAACAACCGATAAGTATAATAAATAGGAAATTTTGCATTTATGAAATAAAAACTCAACCGTGTATTTAAGAGTGGTGGTGGTGTTGATTTGTTATTGCATAAGCATATGAAATTTACTTAATTATCTAGCTGTTATAGTTTTTATATGTCGCCGACTGCTTTATCTTAGGTCAATCGGTAATAAAGTTTATGACGAATGGCAAGGTTGAAGTGGTACGAAGTCGTGGTGTGGGCGTGGCGCGTGCGGGCGCGGGGGTGGCGGAGCCCTACAAGTGCAGCCTACGAGGGGAGGGGGTCAGGTGTTGCATGCCACCGGCACGGCTCAGCAATATTCCTAGCTCGACCGTGTTCGGGGATGGTCGACCTTTCCCGATATCCTCTGAGCCATCGCGATACTTTGATCGTATTCGTTTAACCTTGCTTTGTCCGATATTGCGCGAGTGCCAGTCAAAATGTTCTGTGCTTTGTGTCCAATTCATTTTAACATTACAGATAGTTTTCAAATATTTAATACGAGGTTAGTTGTGTAATATATATTTTTATTAACTAAACTAAACTTCTTTTGTGATAAAAAAGTAGTTGATATTTTTTTTAATTATTTTAAAAGAAGTCGATTATTATAAGTTGCGTAAGTTTCAACCTTTCTTCATGTGTGATGTTCGTACGGTGTCAGTGTCCGGCGTGTCGCGGTGTTGTTTGTGCGTGTCCGGGGGCGGCCGGCGCCACGTGCGGGTCGATGTGGCCGCGCGTGCGCCCCGCGCTGCTCTAAACGTCACCCGCACGACAAGTATACAAAGGCCTCGTATCGGGAATTCATAATTATTAATGTATTAACTACTAAGTAGTTTACTCAAACGTCCCTTGACGAAATGTTTATTACTTCCAATAATGTCGTAGTACTTAATTTTTTTGTATACTTTGCCTTATATATTTAATTTACGAATGTTTATTTTTCAATAATTTTGATAGACAGTGTTATTTTTTTATTTAATAAATAAGACGTTTTCTTACCATTATTATAACGAATGTTTTAGACAGATGTTCCTTTTCTTTTATATTTATCAGATAAAATAACTTTGTTTAACATGAATTTTAAAAGTATAATAAAAAATACTTTCAGTATTTTAACTCATATTAAATATTATACGAGTTTTAATTCTATATAACACAAGCTTTTATGTATTAAATAAAGTAACAGCTATATCTAGTTCAACAAAGTTACCTATTTCAAAACTACGCGCCCCTCTGTCACACAATTATATAATGATAGAGTGAATTTCTTTATAAACATACACTGAGCTTAAAATGTGGCCTATAAAAATCATATTTTTTCTGATTCATTCAGAACTCGTTTCCTTTGTGTTCGTAAAATCTTACTCGCTTAGGGAGAATTCGATGTAAGGGACTCTATGTGTATATTATATAATGACTTAAGAAAAGATACAGAAATAACACTTCGGGTACATTACAAATATCCACACAATGCTCAATAATGTTTTTTTTTTCACAAGACTTGGACTAACCCTTTGATAAAATTCTAATATTTTTCTATAATGTACAATATATTATGTAGAAAACTGGCGCCCGACTCAAAATCTTCTCGAACACGGCACCGCAAAGTTCTGAGCGCGTCGTGCAACTCGTCGGCAAGTCCGATGCCATCGCGGCCGGCGTGAGGGAAGTACTCCATCTCATACGTCAGGTATATGAACACACATACATATGCATACATACATACAAATCACCTTTATGTATTATTTCAAATTCTACTATTTACTTTATTCGTCAACTCCTTTGTGTTATGAGTTGTGACTTAGTCTATATATTTTGAATTATTACTTTTGACTAAAAACGTGTGCTAACTTCAATATTTCTTAAATGCTTTATTTACATATTAATTATTCGACCCTTATTTTTGGTGAAATTATGGAAGAAATGCTTCGATCAACAATACTACCAGATAACTTATAAAATCAAAGTTATATTCTGTCCGCGCGAATATGTACTAATACAGCTAGCTACGTTTGTATACTAACGAGCCAAGACAAAGTCTTATGATAGTTTTATTTTCAACCTAATCAACACCATAGCACCTTGTAATAAAGTCACAAATCTTTAAATTATCATTTCATAAGTTTTATTACCTTTATTCTAAAATCAACCTTATGTCAAAAAACTCAAAGCACTTTTTCCCGTTGTTGCTTTGTGAGCTAAATCGTTGTTGTTTGCTACATACTTAAAATTTGCGCCTGTATTGGCCGAACTGGGCTAACTTTCTTAGCGGATTTAAAATGGTTCAAAATTTCATTTTTATATTATTTCGTAGGTTAAATCTTAAAATCTTGACTTAATCTACATGTATTTACCGAAAATAAGACAATCCGTCTGAAAAATTTCTTCCTCGTGCATTAATTTTATAACTTTTAAATACATTATGCGGCATTGTGAACGTGTTTACGCTGGCAGTGTTTCAATAGAACTAATCGAAATATAAGCTCACTTTGCAAGTGAGCTTATATTTACCGAGACGGATTTCTTACGCCTTCCCGATTATTATCTAGTAGTATTGTTGATCGAAGAAGAAATGAGACTAATTTATATTTTTGAGATATTATGTACTTTATTATAAAAATAAAATTAAAATAGGGTTACATTTGACAAAGTATGTCTTCGCTAAATATAAACACAAAAAAACTTACATTCAAACACGTCTTTTTTTGAAGTTGGTCAATAATTAAGACCAAAAATTAATAGCTGCTATTACATTTTTAAAACATATATGTTAAATTTCACTAGGCATTTTATGCAATAAATTGTCGATTATATCGTGAATGCCTTAGACGCGCTACGTTGCGTTGTACCACGGCAGATGTGCGCGCCAGCTGCTTATAACATACTTCAATTGGGTTATCCTCATAGGAATTTTAAACGATTTGCGGCCATTATAGATAGAGAAATATAGAGGATGCAAGCTGTTCGGCTTTTTGTGTTACACTTTTTTTATCGCTTATGGTAATTCGAGACTACAACATATTTCAGGTACCGATCAAGGGCGCTATTCAGAATTATGATCCTCATAACTACGACGATTACTACGCGGACGAGTATGGTGGCTTCGGGAGTGGGCAGGCGCCTCGGGGCGGGCCTCGAGGGGCTCCCCCGCGCGGGCCTCCACGGGGCCCTCCACCAATGGGGCCCGGTGGCAGGCCCCCGCCGCCGAGGGGAGGACCGCCCATGGGCCGCAGCGGGCCACCCCCTCCCCGGGGCTTCAACGACTTCGCGGGCCCCGGGCCGCGAAGCAACTTCAATGGACCCCCGCGCGGCAACTTCAGTGGCGGCTTCAGCAACAACTTCAGCAGTAGCCGCTCGTCTTCAAGCGGTAACTTTAACGGCAATAGTGGTAACCAGCAAGAGACTACCACACAAGTTACCATACCCAAAGATGTTAGTATGATATATGTGAATTTTATATTGATTATTATACATTGATTTATATTGTAATTTAATTAGCTAATAATATATCATGGTAGGAAAACTGGTGAACATTTTAGAGTAGGTTCTTAAGGCAAACTGCCTCGAGAACATTTTTTTCATTTGTTGAAAAGCCAATTTGCAACAATCGGGTTAACATTTAGACCTGACTAGTTGGTCTGACTTTTTGATATTTTTGAGAGTAATATAGGTATTTAAAGACAAATAACCACAAAAAGCCAGACTAATTTGATATATATTTTTACCTGCTAGGTGAAAAAAAAATCAAGGGTGCCGCTACACGTCGGCCATACGTCGACTATCTTATTTAGGGGTCCTTCAAGGGCAATTGTAAAATTTTCTGTAGTGCTTCAAGAACCTATCCTAAAATGTTCACCAGCTCTCGGACCATCAGGAGTCGGAACATAAGACTAGCTTATACCTACTTATACATAGCCAGGGCTTTGTCCAGCAATACGATTGCTCTTTGTACCTGTTGTATTTAGATTAATTACTCTTAAATTATCTGATGCATAAAGTGTAAATCACCTGTAGTGGGTCCATAATACTATCAATGATGTTTAAAACCTTTACGCAAACGTTCGTGCAACATTTGTGTGGTGTATGTATAACAGAAACATATGCAATTTGGTACATAAAGATTAATCCTTTTTATCTTTTTCTTTGTTTCATTATATTGGAGTTGGGTCTCTTTACGTATTAAGGTAGATAGACAATATTCCAGAAGTGGTCTATTTAGGCAATTATAGGTATTTTCTTAGTGTATCTCTTTATATTCATCTACTAAATTGAAGATACAGCAGGTTTTAATCCCTCCACGACCGCGGACACGCCGGCGTGTCAGTTAACAATAGATTTCTTAGAATTTTAATGAATTTCTTAGAAATTTACCTGGAGGTGTTCAAATTTTGCGTATGAATATATTATTTTGTAATTTTTTTTATAAGATTACCCTCATTTATAAAAATGAGATAAAACTGTAGTGCTATTACGTAATATATTCTTTGGTTTTGTGAAATAATCGTATTTAAGGAACAGTAATTGTTACTCTTATAAGCATTGATATAAAAAAACTAAAGATACATCATAATTAGCGTCTCAAAACTGTCCTTAAAAGGCATGCACCTAGCACATAGTACGTGCACAATTCGAAATTGAATTTCGCTTTTTATAAATCTCTTTTATTCATTGCTTTTCGCATGACAAAATTAAAACGAACGTTGTTTTGTTAAAAAAATACATATGGTGTGCGTTAGAATTTGTGTTTAGACAATTAGCATTTTCGATTATAAAAAAAAATAATCTTTGGTTTGACTTAACGTCACATGTCGGCGCCACTTTATGAAAAGATATTTGTTAGGAAATGTGTATCTATGTTTGTAATATATCAATTTTATAAGTGACTATCGACTCACCCTCGCTTCGTCCGGGTTCGTCCCTAGCTACGTTTTAATTTTTTGGGCGGAACCCTAATTCTTTTTCTAAAATAAAAGTAGCATATGTTACTACTCCCTATAACATCAGCTATCTTGTAGTAAATGTCCTGTCAAAATAAGTCCAGCTGTTTCAGAGATTATCTGGAACAGACAGACTGACAACAATTTAAAAAAAATGTGTTTTTCTTTAAGTACCATACATAATTTCTTATGCATTTAGTAAAACGCTGTTATTTTGATATTACAAACAGACTTCAATTTTATTTATCTGTATAGATTTTTAGTAATTATTCCGAGGTAATATTTTTTGTAATTCTGCCACAGCTGGCGGGCGCCATCATAGGCAAGGCGGGGTCCCGCATCCGCAAGATCCGCGCCGAGAGCGGCGCCGGCATCGAGATCGCGGAGCCGCTGCCGGGCGCCGCCGACCGCATCATCACCATCACCGGCACGCCGCAGCGCATACAGAAGGCGCAGTACCTGCTGCAGCAGAGGTACACCACAAACACATTCTTGTTTTTTCATTCAATCATTAATTCATTCAATCCATTCATTCGTTCATTTATTGAAGTGAAACTTCTTTAGAATCGTGATTTGTAACTGGATGAAACGGAAATGCGACACGAGAAAGAGATAAATACATAAATATAAAGGATTAAGCCGATGAGAGAATGAGGTAGAATGCATTACTCGAGAAGTGAAAAATAATACTGAATATATAATATTAAATAAAATCTATCAATATATGTGAAATAAAATGTAAAATAACTTTTAAACTTGGTAATAAAAAATATTATTAAAAAAAGTGTGTACTTATGTACGAACGTAAGAAGTTATACTTCTTTGGCGTAACAGAATAAAAATAGCTAAAGATTTCATCCCGTATGTCACAACTCTCTGTTTGTAAAACAGTGTGTGAGCGCATCGTAAAAATTTTACTCTCATATTTTTTTCCAAACATACCAAAAGAAGTAAAAGTTCAAAAAAACCTTACAATTATCATACTCGACCTGATACTTAATATTCATCTCATTATCTCGTAGGTTACTTTTCTGAAGTTTCACTTCTACCATGTGTGAATTGCACAAAGATAATTTATTTTATTTATTTATCTTTATTGTACACCAATACTGTCCTTACAGAAAATACAGGTGTGGTTAGATAAAGTATATTAAGCATGCAAAGGTTTTATTGCTAAAAGAATTCTCGGCTAGACAACCTTTAGTGAGAGGATTTAATTAGACGGAAACGAGACAGTGCTATCAAAACATAAATAAGTAGAAATAATAAGGAAAAAAATATACATACAAATCTAACTTATATATTATAATACACAAATAACTTACTTACGTTATAACATTTTTAAGTATTGAAACCAAAAAAATAGTCACTAATAATAAAACTCAAAAATATGCACGGATAAATAGTCTGTCCTGTTTGTATACTCAGTCACGTTATTTATATACTACACAGTGTGCAGTACATACTGAACTATCACAGGGTTTATTTACCTAACGTTATCGGACTCACTTATTTACTACACATAGGCAAGTTAAGTAATTAAATGTGAAAGTTTCCATGTGTGTCCGTCCGTTTGTTACTCCTTCACGCTGAAACGACTGGACGGATTAGAATTATATTTAGTACACTGATACACTATGACCTGGGATAACATAGGCAAGCCCATACATAATATTATAAATGTGAAAGTGTGTTGTTTGTTTGTTCTTCTTTTACGTCGAAACAGTTTGACGGATTTTTTGTATGGACAGAGTTGGGAGGGCTGGAGAGTGACATAGGCTACTTCGCGGAGATTATCTCACTCCCACGGGAAAACACGTTATAATACAACCCACAACAACTCATCATACCTATGTATATGGTATATAATATATAGTCTATTCCATACTAACCGTTAAAACTTACGCTAGTGATATTATAAATACGAAAGTGTGTGAGTGAGTGAATGGATTTGTTATTTTTTCACACCAACAGCTTTTGAATGAAATTTTGAATGGTAAATAGCTTATATACTGAATTAATACTTAGGCAACTTTTCATTGATGTGTCTACTGCGTGAAAGAATCGGCGGCGGAGACTAATGCTTACGTAAATATATATGTATGTGTGTGTGTGTGTGTGTGTGGGAATTTGTGTTATGATTATTGAAAGTGATCATTTTCTCAGAGCAAAATCGACGTAATTCTTATAATTTTTGTAATATTATAACACACACACACATGAATATGTGTGTATAAAAAAACTTGTAGTGTAAGTTAGGTCATTTTTGATAGAAATACTGATTTAATATACAGAGCTTTTGCTTGGAAATAAACATTATGAATAATAAATTATCATATAAAAAGTTGCCTAATGCTGGAACATTATTATAAAGATTAATTTTATTCAATAAATATACTCACCGCCACTGAAAATAACTAACTTATCACAATACATACTCAAATGGAGTGGATATAAATTTTTTATTCATACTATATATAATTGCATGCTCTCATTTATGTTGTGATTGTCCCATTGATGAATTCATCGTAAAACTAATTTATTTAATACTATATCCACTTTCTGTAGCATTTTTATATTCGAACTTCAATAACGAGAGCAAAATAATTTATTACTTCACCTAGTTTTTATTCAGTTATTAATATGAATTGTTTTAAAAATAGAATGTTTCAAGAGTTCCCAGAGTTGGCCCCAAACAAAAATAAGCATAAGTAATATGTAAATGGTTTAAAGCCATAATGCATTTAATTTAAAAAAAAGGTAAAAGTTGTCATTGATTTTTTGTAGTTAGATGTAGTTTTTATTTTATTTTTTCGACTTATTTTTTTACTTATCTTGGTTCTTTATTTTCTTTTTGTTCATTCGTAAAGTTTTCTATTTATCTTTATTCTAGAAAAAACTAGTCTGTTACAATTGTAGTGTATTTATTTAAATATTGTTTGTACTACTTTTTAAATTTTTAACAACAAAATAATATATAAATACCTACATATTTCATACCAAAACACATTTAGTGTACAATTAACTTTTATTGAGGGGTATTGGTTTAATAAAATAAAAAGATTTTTAAAAAACTAGGTTTTTAGTGTATTTAAAACTAGAAAATATATTTGCTAACACTATATATGTTTGTTTTAACATGTGTTTGTGTGTTCTAACACTCGGTGAATAACAATGTTTTAGGTGTGTGCCCTCGTGACTAACCGGCGGCGGCGCTCGCCGCGCGTTGTATGGAAGACTAGTGATTTTGTTGTTTGATATCTATAACAAGAAATCACTAATCTGCCTACAAAGCGTCGGTAAATTCTTCGGACGAACGCATTTCCACGCCATCATCCTCCATATGTGCTAACAAATGTGCTAATTTATTTAAAATTTAAATTTTGTTTAATCAATAACTCAATTAAGCTATTTGGCTAATATGTTTTATTTTATATTACAGTGTACACGAGAGCAACCCCAACCTGGGCCGTGGAAACTTCTGATTAATAAGAAAAAATAAACTAAGAATTAAGATTACGTCACACCAATTTATATTTACACAGAATAGGAAATTGCATTAGCGAGGCTCGTCATATATTTGTGAATGTTGTTTTAACTAATCGTTACGACAACTTAGTGTCAATTTACGGGTGTTCGCCGTAAAAAGTAAGGGAAATGCATTTATCATTATTGATTATGGAAATATTTAGCAAGATTGTGTTTAATGGCAATGATTTAATTACTAATGATTTGTTACATCGATCTATTTTTAAGCAAATAGAATAAAAGGTTTATTTTGTGAATCACTTGTTTTTTTGTCACCTTTTCTCGTTATTTTATTCCTTGTGTCGCTTTAGGGCTTTAATGAAAGTACTCAATATATATATAAAGTACTCAATATAGATAAATTATAAAAAATTTACAGAAAAGTTGAAATAGGTATAATTGTTTACTATCAAATTTAATATAATATATAAGTTCTCCCGACCGATTCCGGCCACAATGCCAATCTCATTGAGACTAGCCAACTGGTAGGAGATATTATGGTGCAGCGCGTGTGTCGGTGTACGCGCAGACAAGAGCACTCTCTATTTCTGTCACTCTCCTACTCCGGTGTGACGACACGAGACACTCGCGGTGAGAGTGTCGGCGCAGGACCAACGGGACACGTGCTTTCCGAGACACGGGTGTGAAACGCCGCGAACTTCCCAACTCCGGGCTGTTACTGAGACTTACTATACAGAAAGACTCAATAGTTGAACTTGGCCCGACCCGGAACTTGAAGCCAGAACCTCCGGGTGTGCAGCCGTATATGCTAGCTACTTCACCATCTAGGCAGTGGCAAATTTAATATACTAAATAAACTTAACTGGTTTAAGATAATATTGATCTATATGTTTGTCATAGATGATCAGCAAAAGCTGCGCATGCACATCAGAAGTGCGCCTACGCAGTACTCATTTAAAGTTTCGCAGATGTAGCCAGTAAAAAAAAAAGAAATATAAATAGTTTATGAAGTTTTTTATTTTCGGATAGCTTATGCACTTCCTTATGGCTAGACAGTTGATGCAAACATTTATCCACTGTAGATCCAATGTCAGTTGACTGTAGTCTCCTTAATCAGTGCAGTTAACAGGGGCATTATAAAATTATTTCTATTATTTTACGCTGCATCACTGGTTCGTTTACACAATATGCTCTAACATGGATTTGATACAAATTTTCGGGTTCCGTAGCCTAAAGGCAACGGAATCCTTATACATAATTCTACCCTATCTATAATACCTTGAAAGTACATAAACATACATCCATAAGTGTGGAATATCCTTTTATAGATTCTTGAAATTGAGATAGATGTTTGTTTCTAATACATTTTTTTTATTCAAGTCAATAGCTGCCGAGTTATAACGTTTAAGTCGTAAACATTGTGTCGTCGAAACCCACAGTGATTTAGAATCGCACTTGCCCATTTTTTTTTATTTAAGCAATCATTTACAAATAAAGAATTGTTATGATGTTCTGTATTATTATTTTATATTAATATTACGTTTTAGTTATACATTAGATAACTCCGATACCAACTTCCCTGTGTAGTTGCGAACGTCTGTAGTGGCTTATATATTTAGTAGTAAAAGTAGTACATATAGGTACCTATCCAATATAGCTACGAGCTGTATATACAATATACATTGTAATTTCTGTGTATTAAACCAATAGAAAACTAAAACTGTATGTAATTTTTAATTCTGGGTTAATGTTAGTTTGATAGATACATAATTGGCATTATATATCAATGCCCTACTTTTGTAAAAATGGATGTGAATATATTACCCAACTTCTCAGAAATAGTAAACAAAAGTTTTATTGGTTTGTCTTTACATAGTAAATAGTTAACAGATAAGACTAGTTTTTTTTCCACAGGTTTGTATTATTTTTCCACAGATTAATATTTGTTAGCGTGTCAAAACACTTCATCCCTGTACCATCTATGAGATATTAGGCTTATATTATATATTCAACAAAACAGAACATTATCTTCAAAATTCTTTGAAATTAATAATACGTAAAAAAAATATAAGCTACTAAATGTAGTTTTTTTAACTTTCATGTTCCTTTCAGGTGGGGGAAAATTAGGTATAACATAACCTTTCAATAAATAGAAAATTATGACAATGTATTTACAATTTGCAGAGACATTGTGGAACTTACCCACAAGAATACATGATTGGTACAATTTATGTAAATAAATTGTAGCAAATATTACTTTGGTAAATGTAATCCAAAAATGGTTGTATATAGTTGAATAAATAGTATATTGGAAACACACACTTGTATTTCATTTATACGTTTAGGTGAGCTATTTACTTAAGTTAAACTCAAAGACTGCTTATCATATAATTATATTTAAGAATCACATTGCATCCCCTTAATTTACAAAAATATATAATACAAGTATTAAAAGTGTATCAAAATATCGCCACAACTTAAAGCTTTTTGAGTAGATCAATGCCTTTAACTCATCGGCTTGGATGTAAAGGCTTAGACAAATAAAACATTACATATAGGAGTGGTGTCACAACCCCCAAAACAAGTAAGCAACAAATAAGATGGTACCACTTTAATCCAAAATCTGCTCCTTGTGATGTTAATTGTTTTACGACCACAGCTTCAACAGGAACCTTGGGTTTGTTGGGCAATAGCTGAGTATCTTCTGATACATATTCACTTTGTTCTGCATCTGTATAAGGAACTACAGATGGAGTCAATGTGCTATTTAAAACTACTGTGTTGCAATCAATTGCAAAGTCACCATCCTTTGTATCTGTTCCATTGGAAATATCACTTTGCAGATGTAATTTATTTTCTACAGGATTTTGAACCAAATTATGCATCATGAGGCTCGTTGAATCTTGGTTTGATGTTGAAGGAATTGGCTGTGGTGATGGTTGTGTGGGGACAAGTTCTGTGAGCACTGAGTATGGTGTGACAGGCACTTTAATGGTCCGTCTTGCAAATATTTCATTGTCTTTATGAATATTGTTGATCCTCTTCAATTCTGAAATCTGTGATAAAAATGTTTTATATTTTATCTATCATATTTTAATACCTAGCTTTTATAACTTAAGGTAAGATAGGTAGGTAGAGTAAGCCAGAATAAAACATTTACATTTGTAATATACTAACACTATAAATGTATCTGACTTTATAAGTCTAATATAATTAAATTAATAAGTGAAATAATATTATTATATAGGTATATTCTTGTAATTCAATTTAATAATGTTTTAATCCTGATATTTTTCCCTTTTACTCAATTAAATTTACTGTCTGGTTTACATTACCTTTGACATAAAGTAATTAATAATACATAATAGACCTTTCAGAGGCACAAAGTTTAACAAACTATTTTTTTTATTTATCTCGCCATAATATTTTTATTAATCTTTTGATTAAGATAATCATAATTATGTGACTTCTTGTTTTACTATTACTTACAGAACAATGAAACCGTAGAGCAATAGCCTGTAATGTATCGCCTTCTTGAACTTGAGCTTCAATGAAGTGGTCTTGTGGCTTTATTCTATACAGCTGAATCTCGCTGGGAAAATTTTCACTGTCCTTTAAACCATTCATATTTGGGATCAGGTCATCCCCACTGTGCATAAGACGCGTCCTGGACAATAGCATTAATAAGAGAAACAAAGTATTAAGTGATCACTGATGACAAAATTACTACGCGTTTCAGTTTTAATTCTTACCTTTGTTTCATTTTTAAATACAAGTCTAAATCTAATAAAAACTATCATGACCTGATCAGATACTTGCAATCTACGTTTAAAATGAAAAATTACCACGTATTCAGAAAACTTAAAATACAAAAACAGCTGTTGTTATCTTCAGCATTCTTTTGACAACAAATTTTGATTGACACATACAATTTTGCCACATTGATAATATCACACAGATTATTACCTCGTCTGTCGATCGACCTTTTAAAGGTCGATGTCAAAAACACCCCTGTCTGTCAAGCGACCTTTTAAAGGTCGATTGGTCCCGATGTCATTTAATGTGTGATTTCTCGCATTTAAACTATATTTATTTTTATCTTACTTTTGTAACGTGTAAAGAAAAATACAAGCAATAATATCATACTACATGTCAAAAAAGTAATAACTCCAATAACATAAATTATTGTAATTTGTGCAGACAATTTATTTAAATTTTGGCGATCTTTGAACTCAATACTTGTGAGTAAAAAATTAACAAAATAGTGTAAAATTATTAGTATAAGGATTGGAATATGATGGAAGGGTAAGTAATTAACAGTTTTTATTTCATAGGATGTGTATTGAATAGAGATTTTATACAGAAATTGTTATATTTGTCAAACATCGTAAGCATTCACGCGCGCTTAGTCTTTATATTTTCACTTTTTCTGAATAAAAAATACACTAGTGATAGCATAATATTTTTATTAACATGATTTAAATTTATAACTAAATAACTACGTATAATTGAATTTGTAAATTTTTTATTAGATTTTAAGTAATTAATAATATAATAACACGTAACCCAAATTCGAGCCGCCATTTTTGACGGCTGTTGGATAGTATGGGGAAGGCTTTTTTAATTTTCATTGATGTTTTTTAGGATTATTTGAAATTTAATATTTTATAAATATTTTAACTGTTTTTCTAAAAAAAAATTGAATTTTTTAAAACAGTACGATTTTTATTTTACAGATATACGTTCAACTTACACATTACTTTAAAACATTATAAAACTAAAAAAACCTAACTGCATAACAGCTAACTAAAACGATAAAAACAAGTTGACGAAGGAATGAAGTATTATGCAGTTGGTGACATACACATGTACATCTCGCGACAAGGATGAAATGTATTTTTTTATTTACAGCTTTTTAATTTTATTAGAAATTTGAGTTATAATAGGTCTTTTGAAATTGCCGTTCTACAATACTTACTGGCCATTGGAAACGTAATTTATGATTGGCCGGCAATAAATTCTAAATTCAAATGAATTTTATTTTAAAAGTATGGAGTTCTATTTTTGAATTCAGTCGTTTGTTTATTAATTAGTGTTTTGTTTTCACTACATTTGTTTGTTTTTCATCAATATAAACACAATAAAAATACGAGTAATTATGAAATACGAGTTCGATCGCGGTAGCAATCCCGCACAAATGGCTCGCAACATTAATGACGCGTACGGAGTGCCGAGTGAATACTACAAACGAACGCACAACTCGTTATTGGTCTGAACACTTCCAACATCGAAATTTTGACCTTAAAAAATTAACCCCGTGGTCGCCCGAAAACTAAAATCTGTAACGACGCATTAAAGGCGATAGTGGAAGCTGACGATACTCAATCTGTGGCTGAGATAGCAGCAGCTTTCAATGTTAGCATCAAAACAATATTGGTCCATTTGCATCAAATTGCATCAATAGCATGGGTGCATATTTTGATTAATAGAAATGAAAAATATTTATAAAAATACAATACTTTAACTTTCTGTATATTAAACGACAATTTCATAGGTAAAGACTTAATATTTAGCAATTTCTTATCCCAAATTACCTTTAAACATGTAAGTTGTGTTCTCTTAATTTTTTTTGTGATCACCAAAAATCTTTATTTTAAGAGCCCATTCGATTGAATTGGAAATTTTTTTTACAGACCAATTAGCGCCTGATATCCGCCATTTTACTTTTTAACTATTTTTAATTTTTAACTATAACGCGAGTATTATAGGCTATATATAGCTTATGACACTCGCGTAAATACGAAACTAACGACATATGAATCATAGAAATCGGCCCACGCGTTTGGTCTCTAGAGTGTCATACATACATATGTACATACATACATACATAGACTGATAAACACATTACCCTCCTTTGCGTCGCGCAGTCGGGTAAAAAATAAGTTTATTTGCATCTCTTAAACTAGTATCATGTTGCATTTTATGTTTATTGAAGCTGCACCAAAATTGCTTAAAACATGCCTTATTAGATTACAATATTATGATCGGAGGGTGAACAAGAAAGACCAATTGTAGGCAATGTACCCTATAGAGCGAAAGCGAACAAGGGTGTAGTATAAATAACTGTTTATTAAAAAAAAACCGACTTCCAGGCACTAAAATGTAAAAAATAGCTTAACGGAGGTTTTCATTTAGAATAGATACCTAATCAGATATTTTCGAAGTCGGTGCCAGCCTACAATATTTTAAGATATAAATATCTAATACGTAAATATGAATTTTATGTATCGAAATATATTAGATTTACTTTGCATCGGCTGGAACTGACTTCGAAAATATCTGATTTATATATTATACCACGCCTTTGTTCGTTTCGACGACGTGACTGAACATCGAAGACGTGGTGAACATTATATGGGAGGAGGTTAGTATAGTTACTTATGTATCTTTACTTAGTAATAATTAGTATTTGTTGCTTTTAGGATAGGTGTTCATCTTTTTTTTTCATTTAAAATAAATATGTATAAAAGCCTCTACCTGCAAGCAATATTCATTAAAAAGTGTCCTTTACCTAACAAAAGGCATCCAAAATTTTCTACTTCAGATTTAAAACATCTGTGAGTACTAATTACAAAGTTTTTATACTCTACTATATTTTTTTTACTACTATAACTATGGAGTCCATAAATACTCAATACAGTAACTGGCACAATACTTCAATCTTATAAAATATTCTTCTTCTTAAAGTGCCATCTTCTTTCGAAGGTCGGCGATCATTAAAGCAACTTGTATCTTTGATGCCGCAGCTCTGAATAAGGAACGGGTGCTTTTTCCAAACCATTGGCGTAGGTTTTTTAGCCAAGATGTTCTTCTTCGACCCACATTTCGTTTTCCTTGGATCTTTCCTTGTATGATGAGTTGTAGTAGGTCGTATTTTCGGTTTCTCATTATGTGGCCGAGATATTCAAGCTTTCTTTTCTTTACTAAGTATAAAACTTCAGGTTTTTTCTTAACGCGACTTAGCACGGTTACGTTTTTTATTTTGTCTCTCCAGGATATCCTTAACATTCTCCTGTATACCCACATTTCGAAGGCTTCAATCTTCTTACAGCTCGATTCTGTGAGGGTCCATGCTTCAACGCCATACAAGAGAATGGAGAAAACATAACAGCGTGCTAATCGTACTCGGAGCTGGATGTTCAGCTTTTTATTGCACAGAAGTGACTTAAGCTTAAAGAAAGCATTACGGGCTTGTTCAATGCGGCACCTTATTTCAAGACTGTGGTCACCCGTATCATCAACCCAGCATCCCAAATATTTGTATTTGCTAACTTTTTGTAGAGGTTGTCCATTACATAGTAATGTAGAGTTAGCAGGTGGTATTTTACAAACTGTCATGTATTTGGTTTTCTTGGTGTTGACACTAAGGCCATACGTTGAACTAACAGATTGGATTTTATCTATAAGGATCTGAAGTTCTTCCATTGTAGATGCAAGCAGTACAGTGTCATCGGCATAACGGATATTGTTAATAATCTGTCTATTCACTGTAATACCTATATCCATCTGATCCAATGCTTCACTGAAAATCATCTCGGAGTATATGTTAAAAAGAATTGGCGAGAGAATACATCCCTGCCGTACTCCACGTAAGATTTCCGAATCATCTGTTAGTCTGCCCTCTATACGTACATTCGCCGATTGGTTCCAATATAGGTGTTTAATAAACCTTACGTCCTTAGAGTCGAGTCCGATGGATTGTAATATATCGACCATTTTTGCATGCTGTACCCTATCAAATGCTTTTTCATAATCGATAAAGCATACAAACACATCTTGATTTATGTCCCAGCATCTCTGTATTAGGACTTGATACCCGAAAAGTGCATCTCTCGTTCCTAGGCCATTCATGAACCCAAACTGTGTTCTTGAAATGAGGTCTTCACATTTACTATAAATTCTTTTATGGATTACTTTAAGAAACAATTTTAGGGTGTGGCTCATTAAGGAGATGGTTCTGTACTCGCTGCATTTCTTTGCAGAAGCAACTTTGGGCAAGGTGACAAAGGTGGATTTAAGCCAATCCGACGGTATGACGCCCGAATCATATATGGTGTTGAATAACTTTACTATTATTCCTAAGTTAGCATACTCAAGCACTTTCAACAGTTCCACGGGTAATTCATCACCGCCTACAGATTTTCCTGACTTGGACATGTTAATGGCATAAGCAATTTCACTTTTATTAATTGGTGGTCCAGTTAACTCACTTCCACATGAACTTGATTCTAGAGCAGGTCTAACGTCATGGAATAGTGTTGTTATATAATTTTGCCAAGTATTAAGTTTATCTTCAATTGTTTTAGCAGGATTTCCCTGATCATCCAGTAAAACGTTACAGTTCATGTTTCGTGTTTTAAAAGTACCCGTTATTTCCCTGACTTTCCTATGCACATTAAAATAATCATATCTGGCCTCAAACTCTTCTATCGCAATGCATTGGTCAACCATCCATTTTTCTTCCGCTTCAAGTACTTTTGTTTGGATTAACTTGTGTATGTATTTATATTGTTGATCGTCTACTCCTTTGTGGGTTCTGCGCTGTTCCATTAGGCTTAAAATCTCCTCAGTGATCCAGTGGTTTTTTATTTTTTATAAAATATAAATGAAAAATTTAAAAGTAACCCCGACATGTAATTCACCATTTTGTGGTGGCGACCATCTTGGATTCGAAAATTATACTAGTCAAGCCTAATTCATTTGATACCCATATTGAGGGAGTTGTGAAAAAATATGTAATCCGCTATTTTGTGGCGGCGGCCATCTTGGACCGATTTTCATCAAACATAACTAAGAACACTTCCGAATTATTCACCTTTCAGAGAAAAAACAAAAACAAAATCGGATGATCTCTTCGGGAGCTACCATACCACAGACAGACACACACACAAACACAGCACGTCAAACAAATAACTTCCCGTAGTTTTTGCGTCGGAGGTTAAAAACAGTAGAAAAAAAATAATTCCTCTCCGAATTAATATTTAAAGTTGTTTAATTTTAATTGATGTTTTATTATCATTTTATTTCCATAACATAATCTGTTCAGATGTGATGGAATTGGTCGTATCCATACTTTGTTAGCTGTCCCTTGTAATTCTTATAGTAAAATTGTTAGTTTACAGAATTGATTTCTGAAATATTCTAATACGGCAACACGTCTTTTTATTCTATTTTTCATTTTGAAATATCACTTAATTGTAAGGTGTAAATATATTTTAAAGAAAATTTAAACAGAATTTGCTCTGCGATCCAAAGTTTGAGATGACATTTTTTAGCACTTATTTTCTAGTGTTTGGTTTATTGTTCAATTCTCGTAAATTAAATAGTTATAAGAACTCAAACTTTGTCAGTATAAGGTACGTGGACTAAACTATAATATAAATGATTATCCTAAATCTCTTGATCTTCAATGCTCTTAGAATTCAAGTATAAAAAACACCTCTTTTTTATCCGGCGCTAAGTCGCCATAATTGAAACATGTTATTGTTAAGCTTGTGGTGTAAAAAAATGTACAGTGAGTTGTGTTGTTTTAATCAAATAATATAAAATATTGTATCTATAATTAAATGAAATTAAAAGTTTTTAAAATAATAGTTTTATTTTATAATAATTCCTGTTTTCATACTATATACTGATAAAAAATCACTTACAGTAATTTCAACTTAGAATTAACTATATAATATTAAATACAATTGATCTTATTTATATATGTATTCTTAGTTTATTTTAAAACGATTCTAACGATATAAGTTTTATATATAGCTTATATATAAAATTTTAATAAATATTGTTATTTTAATGATGCGTACATATTTCGCGCAGGCCCTCGAAAAGTAGCCGACAGATGCGCCATATTTTTGTAAAATGACAGCGACAGTTGAGGGGTTATCAGATAACAATTTAAGAACTAGAATGGTAGTAATGTAGGAACTGGAAAGATCCATCACCATCTAAAAACAAACAAATATTGTATTTGATGATAAGTACTTTCCTGTGTATTATTAATTATTATAGTCTTTGATAAGTACTCAAATTATAATTTTCAGCTTGACAATTTGATTACATTGTATTTTTATATAAATTATTGAGCATTTACACCTTTCATAATAGGTTCTAATTCCTCTTTTAAAAACAACCATGCAGTATCAAAAATGTAGTGAGGGATTTTAATTTAAAAGTTTATTTATATTCTATAACGAAGTTTTACCTACGCTCACGTAATCGGATAAGGCTAAAATATTATCCACATTCGATTACCTAAACCTATACATATAATAAAATTTTAACGAAGCCGAATCTGTACATTAAATATTTTTTGGAAAATCTTATTGAAATAGACATTATTATCAATACAGAGGCCGAATCTATAGTTTTTAGAATTTTTTGTCTGTCTGTTACCACATCATGGAAAAACCACTGGAGGAATTTTGATGAAATTCGGTATGATGATAGCTGGTTATCCGGGTCAACATATAGGATACTTTTTACCACGGGAAAATATCTCATTTCTGAGAAAAAATACAAAACCTGCATTGTAAGAGTATACTAATATGTAAAACCTAAGAATTTGGTTTTTGCCTGTTGGTCATCTGAACACGGGCGGAGCCGCGGGCAAAGCTAGTAAATAATATTTTTCATTGCAGTATGTATAGGTACGTACTTATACATGCATATATTATAGTATTATTAGCAAGCATGATTATACTACATGGGTAGAGATATATAAATAAAACATAATTTTGTTACAATTTTATTAACTTTTAAGTATTTTACACAACAGGTATAGAACATAAAATACCTTTGGTACTGCGCTATAGAGGAGTAGTTAATTGCACATTATATTTTAATCTACCTACAATACATACAAAAAGTATAAATAAACAACATTTTTTTGAAATTACATTCATAACTCAAAGATTAGTTGATATAAAAAGTTGATCTAACATTTTTAGTAAAAACTGTACTACTTAGATTATTAATATGTATAAATAATCTAAGCTGTACTAGATAGTTTAACAATAATACAAATGTTTCAAAATTTAGTGCTTATTATTGATAGCCTTTAGATGATAATACAAATTAAAATAATAAAAAAAACGTCAAAATTGTATTACGTATCTAATGTCAGAGTAATAATAATATAATACAAAACAAAAAAGAATATCACAGTAAATATTAAAAATCAATCAAAAACTTTACTCCAAAGAGATATTGAAAAATGTAAAAGTAATAATTAAAGTAATATAAAGATTTATTTTGAATAGTTTCATGTGGTCAGAATTTGGTAAAATTAAATTACGCAATGATAATTAAATTACATAAGTTTTATCAATATTATTACTATAATTTAAAATTAAAAACAATTTGTAAAAATTAAAGTAAACTAAATATATTATAATATATAGATACATATTGATTCGATATTATTATTTTGAAATGCGATTCGATTATTTTATAGGGCAAATTCGAGAAATTCTGGTAATACGATTATTTCAATATTTCAATAAAATGCCCCTACTATATTTAGAATAGAGTAGAAAACCAACATTAAATATGACTCTCGATTTATATGAAAGAGTGTAAAATTCGAGCTCACGCTGTATCTATTGAGCTGCTACCCCATTGAAATGAAACTTTATTATTTCTTTAATTTAGAATATTTTGTAAACTGTGAAGTCATCTAAAAATAGAAAACCAAAATTCTTAAATATTTTCAAAACACATTTTTATAATAAATAATAACGAACGGACTTGGTCCAGTTACAATATAATTCATTAAATGTATAGATCCGATATTTTCAAACAAAATCAAAATCATACTAAAAAGAAGCATAATTTTCGCAACTTTAATTAATAAAATAAATAAAATGACGCATTCGCAGTACCATAATGGATAATATTTAAAAATTTATTTACAAAGCTATATCAAAATGATCAGTTCATAGCAAAATATTTACAATACCATAAACAATGATACTAATTTTTTGTGCCCAAAATATTAACGTGCTGAAATTAATTTTCATATAAACACTTCAAATTTTTTTTACTGAATTAAATCATTTACAGAAAGGACAAAAATAACCTGTTATTTTTGTCATTATAAATGATATCATTAAGATCTGTTATCAGAGAATTAACCACATAAAATTTTAAATACAAACACATTCTGTAAATCAAACATATAAATTAAAAATGTGTAATTGATTATAAATTTAATAAAAATAAAACGTATGACTGCTTTACTGAATTAAAATTTTACATGACATTTTAAGCATTATTATGGAACCATACAATCCAACAATAAAATCCAAGCTCTTCCAGTCATAAGAGAATTGAAAACATGATTAAATTTAATTTGGCAAGTAACCTTGCGAGTATCATTAGAAAAAAAACCTTTACATTAACGAAATCACAATTTTATTATAACTGACTTTTATTTTTGATTAATATTGCCCTATAAAATATATGGACTGACATAAGGAGTGACTACAGCCTACAGGTAAACAGTATAGAAATAAAAAAAAACGTGAGGGCATCGCTTATACATATCACAGGTTTCCTAAAGGCATATATAAACTTGATGAGAGTCCAAATTTATACACACCTTACACTACAGGTATATACGACCTTTATACATTATATCGTGTTATAAATATGCATAGTTTAATTTTATGACGGCTTATTCGTTACTGGTAAACAATAAAATATTAATAAATATGAGATCCTTAGTACATATCTTAAAATAAGTATTGGATTTAGTTTAATGGCAATCATTTAAAGACGGCATGATGATATTCTACAAAATTTTCAAATATTTCTCGCTTTAATATTATACAATAATAATAGTAGGTATAATTGAGTAATTTTACTGTTTGAAATTGTATGAAATATATTTAAAAAAATCCCCAAATATCTTATCGTCCACGACATTTATTTATAGAACTAAGTGGCAAGCATGAAGCGAATATTTTTCTAGAACGGTTCGATTTCTTCAATTGACTTCATTTAGAAACGAAAATAGTTCAAACGTTATCTGAAACTAGCATCATAAACTAACAACACTTTTCCTGACACCAAAATAATATACATTTCTCAAGATATTCCCAATATGATAAACAAACTCACAATTTAAAATTGATTGTATTCATTACACATAAATAAATATATAGTACAAATAACTTGCATTGGTCATATCGTAATAAATAAATAATATAAAAACAATTATAATAGCCAGAGGCTGTCAAATCAATTAAAATATATATATGTCCAAATATTAATAAGAAAAGTGTTACTATAGTCCATTCGCGTTAAAAAAATAGTCATCAAGTGCAACAGCAGGTAAAGGTGTATACATTGTCGTGGTGGGGGGGCTCAGTAGTGTACTCGCGAAGCCAAGAAACGCACAGGGAGGTGGCCCGCTTCGGTGGGCGGTGGGAGGCGGCCTTCTTCGGAGGGCGGTGTGCCATGCGGGTTGCTCCTGGTACTTCTCTGATAGCAGAGTGGACCGTGGAGCAACCCCGTGGTTGTTGTGGTCTGCTTCGGCAGACCTGCCGTCGGGGCGTCGTAGTTGAATGCGTAAGCGATCCTGCGACGTCCCATTAAGACGGGGGAAGGTTTTGTTGGGTTTTAGTGGGTAGTACTGGCTTCGCCGGTGAGTCCCACACTTCGTGCGTAAATGCATTTCCCAACGTTAAAAAAAAAAAAAAAAAGGTAAAGGTGTATACAAAGTGGGAATAAAAATTCAATTCAAATTCAATATTTCAAAAGATTAAGTTTGATGGATAAAAATCTACTTAATTAAGATTTGAGATAATAGTGACTTTATTTTGATTTGAGATAATTAATCAACTTAATCATATTAAATCAAAATAAAGTCATCATATAATGATAATGACTTTGATTTGATGTTAGATAATAATTAAACTTAATTATCTTAAATCAAAATAAAGTTATCATATAATAACTTTATTAGTCATCATATAAAGACTTTATTCTGAATTGAGATAATTAATAAACATACATATTTCAAATCAAATTATAGTCATTAATAATATATTTAAGTCTACCTTAAACTGGTCATTGTGAAATATGACTTTAAAATTTTATGCAACCTAATTGGACGCTATTTTCTTAACGCGAATGAACTATAGATAGTACCATAGTGAAAAATCCATACAGTGGGCGGTGACTGATTGATTTGAATGGAAATGCTGTCAAATGCAAATACCAATTTTTATGACGAACGATTTCAAAGTTAAAGCACTGTTGTGTCATCTCGTTACAAGATAAAATTCTAACATCTGAAAGCCGCGCACCCGTCTGTCATACAAAAGAATCTATGACAGGCAGGTGCACTCACTCGCCTAACCTACTCTCCTCGCACGCTTCGCACTGTTGTCCTGTCTAGAGATGACTGTACGAATTAGTTGACTGTGGTAGTACATAGCGTGTTATGGAGTGCTTTAGCGGGATAACCCTTCACGAATTATCGAAACCCTGAAAGTCTCCGGGCCAGTTTTCCCGCCGGGCGACACGGTCGGACCCGGTGCAAGCGAAAAACGCGTCCCCTTCAAACGGATCCGATTCACGAGTGAATATATTCACCGAGTCCGACTTCTTGATGTCTCGATGTTGCTGCGGCTTCGCTCTGAGAGGTGGTAGGTCACCTTCGTCCTCTTCAGCGATGGATGCTGTGCGTCCTCGTGGCGTGGAGATAGTTGTGAAATCGTCTTCGAACATCGACCTTGGTGAGAGTGAGTCGGAATCGAATCGGAACCGGGTGGCGGGTGAGTCGCCGTCCCGCGCGCGCGCCGAGCTGCCCGACACGGGGGACGCCGTCGTGTTCTCGGGCTCGAACACGAATCTGTTCATTTTAATTTTTATATGCTTAAAATATATTCTTTAATTATTGAAGTTAAACTTCTTTTGGCACCTTTGGAAAAAAATTATTAGAGTAAAATGTTTACGATGCGCGCACACACCGACAGCCAAAAAGCGACATGATGAAGTTAGCTGCATTCCTTTTACAAACAGAGATATTGAGATTTATAGAGAGAGATTGATATTGTGACATACGGGATTAAATCTTTAGCTATTTCTGTTCTGTTACGCCAAAGAAGTAGAACTTCTTACGTGCGTACATAAGTAGGTACACACACGTTTTTTTATTAAACAAGGTAATTATTATGTAAATATATATTAAGTTTGCAGGCGTCCATGTTTGCTACTCCATCATGCTGACGGATGGACGGATTTGGATGAAATTTAGTATACAGATACATATATTATGACCTGGAGTAACATAGGTGTTCGGCGCCACTGAATGTCTTGGTTTTAATTTTATGAAAGATATTTACTTAACTTTGTTATCATTTTATTAAATACTAGCCACTCACCATCGCTTCGGTCGTGTTCGTCCCTGGGTTGCTTCCCCATACAAACTTTAGACTGATTTTCGGGATAACAACGTCCGGGATAAAAATGTCCTTCGCAGGGTCTCAAACTATCTTTTTACCAAATTTAATCTAAATCGGTTCAGTAGTTTTGGAGCCTATTCGATACAAACAAACAAAAAAACATATTTTCCTCTTTTTAATATTATAATTATAGATAATTATAATTAAAATATTCACCTTGTTCCCTCTAAACAAGAATACGGAGTGCGTTTCTTTGTATTAGGTGTAGGCGTGTCTTGAAAGTCGTTGTCGAAAGGTGAAGTATGTTCTCTTTCCCTTGGAGAAAAATCATTAGAAAAACGATAATCTCTCGGCCTAGCTCGAGGGTCTTCACGCCTTCGTCTTCTGGGATCACGGGAATCCCGAACTGAATCCCGCACATCTCTCGTATCCCGTCCCGACTCCCGGCCCGAATCACGAGGGTCCCGCGAGTCCCTTCCCGATTCTCGTCCAGAATCCCTAGCATCTCGGGAATCCCGACCAGAATCTCGTGGATCTCGCGAGTCTCGTCCCGAATCTCGTCCTGAGTCACGCGCATCCCGGGAATCCCGGCCAGAGTCTCGGGTTTCACGTAAATCCCGTTCGGCTTTTCTCGCTGTGATGGTGGCTGAGCGTCGTCCCGGCCAGCCTAATGTAGATCCATACCTAAGGAAATATATATATATATATATATATTATAAAAATGTTTTTAAGCCCCCGAAACAAAAAGAGGGGTGTTATAATTTTAACGTATGTTAATAGTATGTTATAAGTGTGCGTTTGTTTGTGGCATCGTAGCGCCCAAACGGATGAAACGATTAAAATGGCTCCAATAAAAAGGCTATTGTATTGGCGTTTTTTTTTTTAATTTATTTCTATTACCTTCGTTCACTTGGATCTTCACCTTGCCTCAATTCATTCCTACGTCTAGTTTCTCGCCATCCGAGTGACCCGTAGTTTCTTTCTGAAAATGAAATACCATACTATGAGTATTTATGTTTTAATTTGATAAACTCAGGTTTTCAATATAACTAGCGTATTTCCGTAGTTCAATATGTAATATGTACTACTATATCTTTATAATAAAATTTATAGCTAGCTGGAAAGTTTCATCAAAATCTGTTCTGTCGTTTTTGTAGCATGAAAGTGTGACAAACATTAGGCAGCATTTATTATATGTATATATGAGAACATTTCTTTCCCATATATATAAAAAAAATTTACATTCATTTCTTAAACTTAAAACTTCCCTAACTCGGGCAATTTTGACTGGAGAAAAGAAAGTCATGAAACCTTTTTGATGTAAAATTTTAAGCTCTAAACATTTTTAATAAAACTTTTTTGTCTAAGTTTTACCGTTTTCGAGTAATTGCGAAAAATTTATTTGACTGGACTAGTTGGCATCTTTCGGGTACGAAACCTCAAAAAGTGTCGTGACGGTCGAAATATTACACTTGTTTTCGTCAGGCTCTCATTCGCTAAGTGTGCCAAGTAACGAGCGATACGAAACTTCATTCCGAAAACCCATCTTATATGTAAAACATACCGTCCCTGCGCCAGCGCTGGTCGGGCCAGCGCTCGCGCGGTGAAGAGCGACCGGACCCGCAGCCGTCGCTGTAACTGGAATATACAGAACATAAAAGCTTTAAAGAAAACCGACTTCCAAACAATAAAATGTAAAAAACAACTAAACGGGGGTGTAAAAATAATAATAATTTTCATTTATGATTTGTTCTTTCAAATCAAACTACAACACAATCAGTTTACTTATTATCAAAATGGGAATGCGTTAAAAAAATTATGATCAATTAGGGTTTCGTGGTTAAAAATAAATTGGGAACCGCTGGACAAGACTATATAAGATTAAACTAGGTTTGCATGCCACTTTGCTTGTATTCAGCACTTTTCAACGTCCCACTGCTGAGCACGGGCTTCCCTTCAATATGAGGGGAATCAGGCCGTAGTCCACCTCGCTGGCCAAGTGCGGGTTGGCGGACTTCACATGCCTTTTGAAATCTTGCTAGGTTCTCTCAGACATGCAGGTTTCCTCACGATGTTTTCCTTCACCGTTAAGACAAGTCGTAATCATGTTGGAAATGATTCGCACATGAAAATATCAGAGGTGCGAGACCCGGGATTTGAACTCGCTGCACTCGGTTTCCCAAGCGAGCCCGTTACCACTGGGCTACCACTGCCTCCACTTTGCTTGCGTGGAGTTAATCCAGCACTTTAGTTAGCTCAATTCGATTTATTACTAAAACCCATTAAGCATGAAGAAATAAGTAACATTTTCCCACACAATTTTAGCAATGCTAATATTAACGTGATATTAGTAGTAAGAATAAAAGGAAAACTTTTCTCCTATTGATTTTAAAATAGAAAAATATATTTTTAATATATTCACTTAGTTGATTAAATGTATTTTATCTTGATCACATTTAAATTCTGAAACCATATATACTCGTAAAGGTGGAGTACTTACTCTTCTTCATCATACGAATGTCTGGGTTTCCGATGCCGATCTATATCCCTATAATCCTTCGATCTCTCTCTACTCCTCGAGTCTCTATAATCTCTTTCTCTACTGTAATTCCTTTCTCTACTCCATGTGTCTTTCTCTCTTTCTCTGCTCCTTCGGTCTCTTCGGTCTCTGTCTCTATGGTCCCTGTGGTCTCTTTCTTTGCTGACGTCACGCCTATCTCTACCGCTGCCCGAATCTCGTCTATCTCTAGCTGAATCTCTTCCATCACGATTCAAATCTCTATCTCTACTGCCGCGCTTATCTCGATTTTTTTCTTTCTCTCTTCCACTTCCGGAATCAAGACACTCTCTTGAGCCGGATGAATTATGCCTGAAATCAAATACAACAAACATAGGTATTAAAAATATTTCTTTTAATGTATGAGTAGTATGCAGAGTATATATACTTCATAATTCTATTGTATGAATTTTAAATAATGGAAAAAAACACATCTTCAAAGAATTCATGTTTTCATTTCAAATACTTTCTAATACTTTGCTATCACTTGGCAAAGTATATTATATCATAGTATTATAATATTTCTTATTTACCACTATGGATTTAAAAGTCGCCTTGCAAAATATTTATAATATATATAAGAATTAGTTTACCGCGAGTCTCTGTCTCGATGCGATGGCGGCCGCGCCAGTCTCGCCATCGGGGGCTCTTCGTCCCACGGGGACACGTCGCGAGATGATGACGATGTTTGAACTGAAAAAATAAATACTTAATTTTTTTCTCATTCTCATACATATAGCGTTTTAAATAAAACTACTTTTTCGGATTTTTCCGCGGATTTATTTGTAACAACTATAGAATGCCTTGAGACATCTTAAACCTTAGTCTCTCCCGTGACCATGATTGCTGTAACGCATTCGAAACGTCGGGAACCAAAAATCAAAATAAATCCGCGAAAAAAACCGTAAAGATAGTTTTATTTAAAATGTCCAATGTTCGCTTAAATCTAAGAAAGTATTATACATTAAGCGCACACAGAGACACACATACAAACATCCACGCACGCACGCACATACATACATTCACATATATTGTAATAGAATATTCTTGAGCAACTAATTTTAGTAATTAAAATGTTTTATATTGTAAAAGTCTAAAGAAACATTCTTCTACTAGCTTATTTATACAGCAATTTAACCCTTTAGCTTTCACTGCTAGGCGCGGGCTATCTTTAAAAGCGTGATTGTTGGGACAGTTTTTCTACATACGAATGTATGGTACAAGCAGCGCTGCCAATTGGCGGGTAAATTACCCGAAAAGCGGGTAATTTTAGGCGATTTTTGATGGCTGATAATTTTGACGGGATCAAAGCAGATATTTTAGTTTAGTCGATTAATTTGACATTTTAATGTTTGATTTAATAATTTAAAGCTGTTCAATTGAGAACTGATTACAATGACTTCTTTTTCTAACATTAGAACTTTGATTTATTCTATATGACACATGAATTAATTACTTAAAAAAAAAACTATTTTCGGGTATTTTGCTCATGGTTGGCGCTAAACCGGGTATTTCGATATTGGTCGGGTAAATCAAGGAGTGTTATCTGTCAGCCGCGGGAACAAGACGTGTGCAATCACCGGCGGGCCCGCGGGCGTGCGCGCGGCGGCGGCGGCGGCGCGGCTCGGAGTCGCGCGAGTCCGACGACCAGCCCTCGGCCCAGCCCAGCCGCGTCAGCCCGCCGATCACCGGCCCCAGGCAACGGTCTACACGCGACACATCACACTTTTCAAATTATACAACTCACATTTTGACAACTAAAAGTTATGTCATTTATAAAAAAAGAAAACGAAGGAAGTAGGGTTAAGTCTGAATACGTTATATTTATTAAATACTAGCAGCTCACCCTCACTTCTGTTGGGTTCGGCAATAGATACGTTTTCACTGTTAGTATAGAATAGATAGATTATATATTATATATTCTGAATTTAAAGTACTTAACCATATTATAAACATCAGTTTTACAATAATGTAAAAAATAAGTAAGTCTGCTTGGCTGATTTGTTGATATTTATAATTACTGTTCCGCTCCCTTGGGTAATAACATGATAATTAGCCTTCCTCAATAAACGGGCTATATAATGCAAAAAAATTTTTTCAAATCGGATTAGTTGTTTCTGAGATTAGCGCGTTTAAACAAACAAACTCTGTCTTAAATATATGTCTATAATATAAGTATAAACTAGAGACTTAACCTCGCTCGAGTGCGTCTCTAGGTACGTTTTATATAGATAAAAATAGTTATTGTGAGCGTGCCTAAGGAGATAGACACATGCTAACGTGGTCTTTTCTGTATGTCTTTTTATAACCCACAATTTTTTATTATATTGTTTTGATGTATCTTTAAAGGTTTAGTCAGCGTTAGCCATATACTTGTACGAATAGAGTTTTTTGGCAAAACACCGCCTAGACTCAGTCATTTTGTACATAATATTTACAAATTATATACATAAACTTTCCTCATTTATCGCTCTTTCTATTAGTGAATACCTTATCAAAATCTGTTGCGTGGTTAAAAGTAAGCGGAGAAACAGACAGACGCAGACAGCGACTTTGTTTTATAATATGCACAATGTACATAGGGGTGCATTCCTAACATTAGTATATATGTTACTGCAGGTCATAGTCTATCTGTGTGCTAAATTTCATCCAAATCCGTACAGCCGTCTCTGCGTGAAAAGTAACAAATATACACACTAAAAATTTTCGATTTTATAATAGTAGTCCCATTATATAACTCGCTTACGCTGTGTTACCTGCATCAATAATAATAAAAATAATTTTCTATATACAAAATAAACTTAATAATTGATTACAATTTACGTTCTCATACTTTAATAACAAAAAAGTACCTTTAGTATCCGGAGAAGAACCGCTCGCTACATCACTGATGGACCCAGTAGAAAGCCTTACAGATGGCTGCAAGTCCCTAACCGGTATAATAGAAGTTTCTATTGGCGTCTCTTTCTTTTCCTCCACCTTTTTCTCCTCTTCCTTCTCTTTCACTCCTGGACTCTTCCGAAACGCGTCTTCAACATTAAAGGAGAGGGAGCTGTTATCGATACAATCGAAAAAATCCGAATTATCGAACCCATCCGATTTTTCGTCCGATTTCTTTCTTTCTTTAGGGGCTTCCGGCGGAATCGATTCGAACTCGTCTTGAGGGGGTTCCGTTATAGTTATTTCTCGTAAGGCTGCATATCTGTCATTTGAATCATCGTGTTTGGTTTCCGTAGCTTCATCACGCGGGGAGACGCTATGCCTTGCCCTTTCTATTTGTAAATTTTTCATAACAGTCTTAATATCTTCAATTTTGGCATCTATCGGCTTCGGGCTCACTGAATTACGGAACATGTTAAACGAATCTATTGTTAATTCATCTAAACTCTTTAGTGGACTTTTGTCTAATTCCTTTCGTTCCTCAATTTTCTGCTCTTCAGTTTTTATTAGATTTTCTATATTCGCAAGTTCTTTGTCTTCTTCATGTTTTATTTCTATATCGTTGGGATCTAATATTGATTTAGCTTTCAACTCTTGCTCCTGTATCTCTCTAAACGCTGCGTATTTATCATAACCAGGATTAACTTTTTTATCAAAGTCATCGAAATTCGCTACAAATGTGTCTGTTGAGTCTGTCGGTGCAAAATCATCTTCGAACTGAGGTTTAAATTCGGAAGGTATAGGTGCTAGATTTAGTGGTTTTTCAGGTAAGGTCGTTGGAATAGCGGGTATGGTGGGCGTGATTTTATCTTTCTCAACTTTCAGGGCTGGATCCACATGAATATGCTGAAATGATTTTTTGTTTATTAATTATTTTTTTATTTTTATTAACTTGACAAATCTGAGACTGAATTCCCCTCTAAATGAGAATAGTTAGAGTTCAGTTTTATAGGAAATTAAAAGCTTGATATCGTAATTAAAATTTTAAGGGGTTTACTGCTAAAACCTGCTAAACTACATTTTTGGAAAAAAATGAGTTAAATAAATGAAAATTCTTATCTTTTCGAACTCTGTATACTGGTAAAGCCGGCTAAGTGCTACGTTCAATACTTTAGAAGATATAACAAAGTAAAAACAGTTATATACAACAAATCGTTCAATACTCGATTGCTAAAATATTATAAACTAACTGTACTACCTCACTTATGAGTTTCTTTATTTCATACACTTCTATGACACATATTTACTTAGACCACAAAAAAAATAAAATGTTTATTATATATCCTAATTTGTGACTACTAGAGTATTTAAATTTTAAGACTCACTAAAATTATATCATTTTTATTACGTATAAACTTTTAAAACGCAATAACTCAAAACTAACTTGACTGCACTTAGCTAGTTTTCGCAGTAAGCCCTCGATTTAATATATATGTGCATACTCGTACCTCCGCTATTAGGTTATCTCAATTTTCTGTCCAGTAAATTGGGCAGTAACGGGGAGGCAGATACGTGAGTGATTTTGAAAGAGTTATTTTTTTCATTTATGTCTAAAACTTAAACTATTTGTTTACAATAGACGTAACATAGTATACACAATTAAAATATATGTACCTATTGAGAATCTTCCCCATTTTGTGAAGTGGATGGGAAATTAAATAAATTCTCTTATATACAGTGTTTAAATTATTTTTGGTAAAATAACAAGGACTATTTCAAATAAGATAGTTACAATAATTAATTAAAAGTACACAACTATGGGAAAAAATCGAACTAGGAATTTAAGTTACGTACCGCCTTTTCGTTTTCAGAAGCGACATAAGACCGAAGGTATTCCGTAAGTTGAGGCAGCGTCATGGACGATAGCGTCGCGGCCGGGACTCGAAGCCTGAAAAAAATTACAAATATGGTTGTATTTATCGAAATCCATGTGTAACAACAAACGTTTCAAGGTGAATGAGTGAAATTTTCGAGTGGGCTGATCAACGAGGTGGCTGTTATAATATAAATAATATTTGCTTCAAGCGGGATTCAAATCCTCGATCTCTTATGTAGACACAGATATTCCGCCCACTGTTATAATTAGTTAACATAAAAAGTCTAGATCATTCAGATCCGTTCAGTCGTTCTGGCGTGAAACAGTAACAAACATCCATCCATCCTCACGAACTTTCATATTTATAATATTAGTATAAATATGGATTAAAAACTAAAACTATACTATGTATTATTATATGTATCGAATTACGATTAATATTATTATGAAATTTGATTAAGTGGGCGTACGAAGTAAAAAAAAATTTATTCGTTTTTCACATAACTAATTGGAATTCATTTGTACTATTATTTCTATAACGCCGTTCATTTACTATTGCGTTATCAAAATGCTTATATTTCAATAATTAAAGTGTACCTTTATATTAGGGGAATTGGCCAAACAATGTGGGTATTGCTAATTTGATTTAGCTGCCTTTTTATTATCTATCTATCTATGTCTATAACAATTATATAATGATCTTTGAGACGTATAAACCCTTAGTCTCTTTCGTCATACGAAAAGTTGGAAACCGAAAATAAAAACAAAGTCGAAAAGGCAATTCTATTGAAAATGTCAAATATTTGCGTAAATCGAAGAAAAAGTAAATATATAAGTAAGTTGATGCAATATTTACGTATGATCGCACGTTACTCTATACATTTAAATATGTTCGAGTTCCATGTGTGTCGTGTATTCGAGTTCGGTGTCACGCCTATGTTTATATTTTTCGTATATAGCGGTCACACGAGATATTTCCCTACCAATTATCGGCTAAATACTACCCATACGAACAGAATTCTCAATAGAGTTAGGAATACTTAACTCTCGCTCTAAGTCCGCTGTGACGAAAATGTATAGTTAAAGATAACGCCTTATGAGTAGCGATTTCGATGGTTTTTTTGAAAGGCAGTAATTTTAAGTTGGTCTCATAACAATTTTGTAAAGATCTGATGAATATCTTCGGCGTGATGAGCGGAATTAATTCTCAAAATGCAGATCTACTGTTTGTAGAACTTCTTTTTTTTCTTCTCCATTCCCAATCACTTGGGGTCGGCGCAGTACATCTTCTGTACTGCTGATAGGATTTGGCAAAAGTTTTACGACCGGCCGCCTGCCTGACGTCAACCCTCCTTGGGAATGCTATTGTCTCTCTTTGTCTGAATGTTATCGCGGAAGTCTTGTAATTATTATGCACTTTCGATTATGTTGTCTTTTAAAACAGTTTTTATACTATTACTTAACATTTAAATGTTATATTCGGGTATATTTTAAAATAAATTTTGATTACACAATTTGTAGAAGTACAATTAAATATATATAGACGCCGACCGTGCCGCGAGCTCGTCCATGGTGAGCGTGAGGAGCTGCGCGAGCGTGATGTCGAAGCGGCGCGCGGCCGGCAGCGGCGGCGGCGCCGGCGACAGGTACTCGTCCTCGCTGCTGGTCGCGCCCAGCGACGACTGGCGCGGCTTCGTGCTGCGGTCCGCCTGGACACGTTCAAAACAAAACAAATTATTAAAGTGAAAACTTCTATAAGCAGGTTTGGATGGGAAGTAAATTCATCTAAGTCGTCATCGACATGGTCACGTGACGTGTTAACGCTAACACTCAGAGTGTCGTTTAGTATAGATTTCTCAGAGATGAAATATTTTCCCGCAGTAAAAAGTACCCTATACGTTGACTCGGATAACCAGCTATCATCATACCAAATTTCATCAAAATTTCTCCAGTTGTTTTTCCGTGATGCGGTAACAGACAGACAGACAAAAATTCTAAAAACTATAGATTCGGCCTCTGTATCGATAACAATGTCTTTTTCAATAAGATTTTACAAAAAATATTTAATGTACAGATTCGGCTTAGTTACAATTTTATTATATGTATAGATCAGTAAAGTATTACGCGACAGAATAATATGCTTTGCTCAATAAATGGCACATATTGTAATCTATAGCATATTTACATACATATATATCGGTGATCTAGTACCTAGCATATACTGCAGGTTAATGCATGTAGTTTTTATGTCAAAAAATTCTGAGTTACAGCTCGGAGTTTGAATAGATACTTAAAGGTTAACCCGACCCAGGACTCGAATCCAGGATCTCCGGATTCGACTAGCGAGACAATTATAATAACATCTATTATATTTTATATACCTTCAAATATTGAAAATTACTAACAACCACACGAGATATTTTTGTTACATACAAAAACACAAAAACAAACAGTTTGAAAACTTAACAACCAGTGACAGATATGCACACACAAACACCACATCCCAACTATTTAACACATAACAACTCAATCTATCGCCTCTCTAACACTAACCATGGGCTCCTTCTTCCTCGCCGGCTTGGGGAGCGGGGGGGTGTCCTCCTCGTGGTCGTGCGGCGGGCGCGGCGGCGGCAGGCTCACCTCCACCTTCTTGGGGGGGAGCGGAGGCGGGGGAGAGGCGCTGTCCGAGTTCAGCTTGGAGCTGGCGTGCGGCCTCTGTCTGATTGTGCTTGTGTCTGTGTTCTGGAATGGACGATTGTTTTCGTTTTGTAAAACTTTATTACACAATAAAAATGATAGAGGAAAAAAAATATAATTAAATTGATTAATAGATGTGCAAACGCGGTCTTGTTACTATAAGCGATCTCTTAAAGGCAACCGTTAGGAAAGGATACAAAATAAGTGTAAAAAGAGAAAGATGCATAAAGTGCAGGTTACTTAAAAATTAATTTAAATATACATACATACAAAGTTATATAGGTATATTCTTTATTAATATTATTGCATATTGACAGAGTAACACAGATAATACAGAAACCAATGTGGGCAAAGGTGGACTTATCTCTAGAAGAGATCTCTTTCAGCCAACCAGTTACATATACATATATAAGATAATAACTAAACAATATATACTTTAACTTTATTGCACAACGTGTAAAAATTGTACAAAAGGCGAACTTAACACTAAAACTAGCGTTTTCTACCTTTATACATACATACAGCCATATAGAACTATGTATATATGCATAGGATAGTCGCTTATATATCCAATATAGGATCTGTGCTTGTCTGTGCTTTTGAATTGTTGTTTTAGTTTAGGGGAATTGTAGTGGTTAAAATTTATCAATTTATATTTGTTTTACAATTAAATTAACTATATTTTTCTTGTGATGGATCTCAATAACCTATCTGTGATTTTCTTTGATTTAAATAAAAATTTGAAATCAACGCAATAAAAATTATCATATCAGATACTGATATACTTGTAATAAATTCTAAAGATAGATGTTATTGGTATTCACCCTACTATTATTGAAAGAAATGTAAATAAATCATGTTAGTATTGTACTAAAGGAATGAAATCTATTAAAATTAGGGTTAAAACAATTGAAGGAACGACTTTAAAGAAAAAGCTCATTAAACTATTTAATATATTAGTGATCAAACCTGTCTAGGCAGTCTGGGCGATTTGGGTGCGGGTTCCGGCGGTAGAGAAACTTGCAAGGGTCCGTTAAACACATTCTTGGCTTCCAAACTAGTGATGGTCTCCGGCTTATCCTGAATCAATTCCTTGCTCAGTTTGCTCTTCAGATCCTCCGTTCTTAAGGAACTTAGTTTTGGGAACTCTTGCATGGTCGTGAAGGGATCATCTTTGAATGTATCAGAGAAAGGATCGCTATTGTCGAAGGGATCGGTTTCAGCGAAGGGATCAGACGAGAACAAATCGGGTGAGAAATTCGGCTGGGGCTTCGCTATCGCTACCGAGCCCCCGGAGTGCCTCGAAAGGGAGGTCATTGTCGTGGGGGGCCCGTAGGCCTCCGCCCCGTCACCCACCCCCATATCAGTGAGAAGGCTGTGCTGCGGTACGAGGTCTTTGAGAACTTTCTTTGGTGGGTTTTTGAGCTCCTGAAAGAAGAGTTTTTTGTCAACGTAAGGTCTACTCCGGCCTGTGCCGAGCGGGTCGAGTTCCGTGAACACGTCGTACGCTGGCGCTTGCGATTGAACCTGAAACAGGCATTATTAAAACCCTTGTATGGAACCGCCCGGGTCAATGATGTTGCAACGTGACGGCGAATTTAATCTTATTCATAGGAATAAATTTAAAAGGTTTTTTTTTTCCATTTTAACATACGCAAATCTAGATTCGTCATCACGTCCATATGAAAATGAACATAGAAGCATTATATCTAGTGACTAATAACTACATTTAAATGAAGTGTTATATAGTATACATATAATCAAAATATATACTTAAAATAAATAATTATATATAAAAAAAAGAATTAGTACACATATTGAATATTAAATTTTATATATTTGTCATACATAAATATTTTTTTATAATAATATGTTAATATGATTTTTATATTATTAGCTGACTACCTAGCCTGATATGAGGTGATTGAGATGTTTGATAATTAGCAGAAAATGAATGATACGAGTTGAAAATTTAAAATTACCTCCGAACAAAATCGCTTGTAATATCTGTACTAAAATAACAATAAAAAATATTTGTCCAAAAGCAATGAATGTTTCATAAAGTGTTAAATATTTATTTTATAGTAAATAGTTATCATAACAGTTTTTGTTGATTGGAATTCATCATACTAATATTAAAAATGCGAAATTTTGTAAATGAGTTTTAAGTGTATTTGTTAATTCTTATTTAATTATTGTTTGTAACTATTTCGGTGGCGTGGTGCCTAACATTACAGTACGGTTGCACATCCGGACGTTATGGATTTGAGTCCCGGGTCGGGTCAAGTTTAGTTATTATTTGTTAACTAGTGGCTCACCCTCGCTTCGCTCGGCTTCGCCTCTAGAAAAACAAAAACAAACCTATCCCACGGGAACCGTATATTTTTCCGGGATAAAAATAGGCCTATATATTAATCTGTAGAATAAGCTATAATACTGTAAAGTTTCATTAAAATCCATTCAGTAGTTGTTGCGTGAAAGATTTATAAATATCTATACATCCAGACATCCATACATCCTTACAAACAATTTCTCTCTATCCCTCTATAATCCTCACAAAACATTTATAATGTTATCAGGATTCTTAACAATGAAAAGGCTCAATAGATTTGAGAAAAATTGGGATGAAGTTTAAATAAAACTTAAATTTTGAAACTACGTTTCACAACGAATTTTTGTAAATGCTTTTTAAGACAATGAAAAGAAAAAGAAAATGAATAATCTTGTGAGTTATTTGAAAAGTCATAAAAAAACTTTATACTTATATACTATAATTTATACTTCATATTACAATTAACGTTTTATATTTAAATGATAACGAATATGAAATTAATTGTAAAAAAATGTGTTGTTCAATAAATAATATTTGTGTCATTTTATGATAATGACTATTAAAAATATTTTTAAATTGATAATTTACCATTTCCCTGTCCCATGAGTCATATATGAACATTTCGATTGTTTAACTATTGTGTCTATTTTGCGGACAGTTAAGTTTTTAATATATAATTTACTAGCGAGCGCGGTACGTTTTATATTAAAATGGATGTAATATGTTATCCTTAAGAGATAGACATATGCCACCGCGGACTTTTCTGTAGAACTATATAAGATACACAATTCCACCATACATTATTTTGTTATATATCAAAGGGTTTAGGCAGCGTTTTCGTTGAAAGTTCCCAGACGTCTTATTTTTTCCGACACCCCCAACAAATATCGTTATATTTTAGCCAATGTATACAAAAACTTAACAAATTATATACTAAAACTTTCCTCTTGAATCACTCTATCTATTAAAAAAACCGAATCAAAATCCGTTGCGTAGTTTTAAAGATTTAAGCATACATAGGGATATAGGGATAGAGAAAGCGACTTTGTTTTATACTATGTAGTGATTTAAAAATAGTGACTCATTCTTACTTCGTTCACATCCCTAGTTTGCTTTCATATAATTGCTCCTATAACAATTTTAAACGGTTATAAATTATAATTGTAACGTGGAAATGGTAAAACTTTCCGCGATAAAAGGTATTTTTGACCGTACCATATATTCTTCCGACGTTTAAAAAGGACAAAAAACTTTCATATTCATAATATTAGTATGGATATGGATATTTTATTTGTTGTTACCCGACTGCAAAAGGAGGGTTTTGTTTTTCGTGTGTGAAAATTAGTATTATGCTTTGTGTCTTACATGTATCTATATTTTCTTTAATCCCTTATATTTCCAGTCATTTCTAATCCTTTACATGACGAACATAACTCTTAGAAGTCAGTTCTGCATCAGAATAACATTCAAAATCTTACTTATAAAAATCTTAGATACTACTAAATATACAAAATTAAAGCTATTGATAAACTTCCATCTTAAATAAAGGATGATATTTTGAAGAAGGCGTGGTTGGCGAAGTCCGAATCAATAAGACCATAAAGTGCGCGACCATGATTGCTGTACAACGTTCAAAACGTCGGGAACCAAAATCAATACAAATCCGCGAAAAAATACGAAAAGATAGTTTTATTTAAAATGTCAAATATTCAAATAAATGTAAAAAGGTATTATATTGAACTAGCATTGCCCGCAGCTCCGCCCGCGTTCAGATGACCAAAAACCAAATTCTTAGGTTTTACAGATTAGTATACTCTTACATTGCAGTTTTTGCATTTTTTCTCAGAAATGAGATATTTTCCCGCGGTAAAAAGTATCCTTTATGTTGACCCGGATAACCAGCTATCACCAAAACAAATTTCAACAAAATCCCTCCAGTAGTTTTTCTGTGATGCGACAGACAAAAATTCTAAAAACTATAGATTCAGCCTCTGTATTGATAATAATGTTTATGTTTATTTCATTAAGATTATCCAAAAAATATTTAATGTACAGATTCGGATTAGATACAATTCTATTATATGTATAGATTTATAGATTGATATGCCATTATGAATCAATTTAATTCCTTTTCTAATAAATGCCAATTTCAAAGAAAAAATACATTTTGGTTATTGCAGCAATGTGTGGTCAGGTGTGGTTTATATTTCGGACATTTCGTGCACGATTCACATCTAGAGTATCTAAAATTTCAAAAACCTGAATGCTATTTAATTGTTTTATCGCAATCGACTTCGTGACATCTCTCACCATTTTCTTCTAATCCTTATATAACCAGATCACATATACTTTAAAAAATCATCCTATATAATAATATTATTTCAATTTGTAGTAACCCTATTTGCTGTACCAGCGGTCGCGGGTTCGAGCCCCACTGGGGGTATTCATTTGTGTGATGAGCACGAATGCTTGTACTCCAGACATGGGTGTTCATATTTATAATATGTATGTACATATTTAAAAGTTATATATGTGTAGTGTATCAACTATCTGGTATCCATAACACAGGCCTCGTTGCTTACCATAGAACTAGATGGCGCTGTGTGTTAATGTACCTACATATTTATATTTATTTATTTATTTATATATAATACTCACAGGTGGTTCTGGCAGGTCGTCCACCAAGGAAGCGGGTTTCGGTTCGAAGTCCCCGGCCACGGCGGACAGGTCGAAGGAGAGTGCGGGTTTGTTTGGGCTGAAAGCGCGGGGCGGGGCGCGGCCCCTCGCGCCGGGGGGCGGCGGGAGGAGACCCTTCTGGAACAATATTTTTATACAGTACTAACGACTCACCCTCGCTTCGCCCGGGTTCGTCCCTGGGTAGGTTATTTTTTTGAGCGGATCCCTAATTCTTTTTCTAAAATAAAACTAGCCTATTTTACTCCCTATAACATCAGCTATGTTCCAGTGAAAGTTCCGTCAAAATCAGTCCAGTCGTTTCAGAGATTATCCAGAACAAACAAACAGACAGACGGACAATAATTTTAAATATATTGTTTTTCTTATAAGAACCGTATATAATTTCATATTAGGCATTTAGTAAAACGCTGTTATTTAGAGATTAACCCCTACGTTCAATCTAACAAACATTACCTATTTATAATATTAGTGTAGATTTATATTACTTCTAAGTCCTATACGTATTTCATTTGAGTGTATGTAAGGGTTTAAGCGAAACACGTTTTATAAAGACGCCTAAGCGTATTCTACGAGTCGAAAGAGCGTCGATTATCCGCCATCAGCGTGTCTAGAAGTATAGGTGTGTGTGGTATACACACATGTGCTAAATGACTATGATATGAAGCTCAAGTTAAATTAGCCATATTTCGAATAAAAACTACAAAATATCACGCCAACAAAATTGAAAATGAACCCAAAACATGCCCCAAATTAAATAAACATGTGAACAATTTTACTTAAGTAAAATAGCCAATGGAAGAATTTCTTCTATATAAATAAAAATTAATTTTCGTACGTGTGTCCTCGCCTTCTAAGGGTGCGCCCGAGCGAAGCAAGGGTAAGTCGCTAGTCTATACTAATATTATAAAGAGGTAAAGTTTGTGACTTTGTGAGGTTGTAGGGGGTAATCTCTGGATCTACCGATTTAGATGAAATTTGGTAAGAAGATAGTTTGAGACCCTGGAAAGGACATAGGATACTATTTATCCCGGAAATCATTCCTTAAGGGGGTGAAAACGGGGATGAAAATGTGTATGGGGAAGCAACCTAGGGACCAACCCGAGTGAAGCGAGGGTGAGCCGCTAGTATTTAATAAAATAACGAATAATACTGTTTCTATAAGAAGTATACGAGTATATATCTTCATACCTGGGCGGGAACTATAAAGGAGTCTCCAAACGGATCCGTCGAAGGTGTTAGACCTTCGACCTGCGTGAGGCCTCGTCTTAACGAGCACAGCTCTTGTTCTAAGTCCACCAACTCTGCCACGCCACCCTCCGCGTTACCTTCTGGCTTCGTCATAGACGAACTAGACTCTCCTGTCGTTGGTATTATCTAGGAGAAGATTATAATTTGCTTCTTTATTGCATGAAAGAAGGAATGTGAACAAACACAATTTCGTATTTATAATATTAAGAAAATTTACTATTATTTTAAACTAGGGATTTAATCACGCTTTCATCGAGTGCCACCCTAAATCTAGTACTCAGTTTATTAGATATTGTGTAGATTTAATCAAAATTCCACCAGGCGTTTTAACGTAAAGGAGAAACAGACACAGACATGCAGTCTTTCGCATTTATAATAGAATTCTAATGACGTTAAAACTATTATTAACGAATTAGCAGAGCTTGTACATTTATTTACAGGTTTTTTTGTCATGTTTCAATAAAATATACTGCACATATGTTCGAAACTTGACTTGGTATAATTATTTTAACAAAAATACCACTATATTGACTGCAGATGTAAACCACTATCGTTTTTTTGACATACCAACATATTCCACGATAATTATAGTTATTTTGCGTTTGATATTAAAAGTAAAAATATTTAACCTTACATTAAGTTTTATCCAATGGAAGGTAACATTTTTTTTTGTTGAGACATAAACACACAACACCATCTACTTCCATGATAAGCTACGAGTAGACTTCTGTTATGGATAAAAGATAGTTGATACACTACACATATATATCTTTAAATACATACATATTATAAATATAAACACCCATGATTGGAGTACAAACATTTATGGTCATTACACAAATGAATGTCTCCAGCGGGACTCGAACCCGCGACCGCTGGCACAGCTATTAGGGTCACTACAAACTGAGCAAAACGTGTCGTCAATTACAAATTATAAACACAGCCAAATTATATGAATTTAAATTTAAAACTATCATAATAATAATAATAAGAAATTCTAAAAATATAAATGGATGTACAATCGTATAAATCATATCGTGAAGGTCGACGTCATTTCTCAAGCGTACATATTTCACTCGGTTGCACCTCACAGACAAACGTTTAATTTTTCTCCTACGCATTGTATTGAACAGCACGGGGTTTTCGCGGAACAACAATTCACGGAGATAATAGGAGTTTCCTCGACGTAGTGATCCAATTATGTGCGGCACGTCCGAGAGCGGTGTTGATTTGTTATTTGTTTGGTTTTGTCTAACAAAAACTTCCTCCTGGATTGTATAAGATTTACTGCATTTTTATATAACACTAGTGTCTTGCCCTTTCTCCGCTCGGATGCGTCCTTAGATGTTTAGCAAGTAGCCTATGTGTTACTCAGTCATAATCTATCTGGGTACTTTTAATTTAAATCCATCCGGCGTTATTAGTAACAAACATACTAACATGTTATGTATGTCATGTACGAGTATATCAAGTCCTACAGTATCTACGAATCGGCAAAAGGAAAATCTTTAAGCTGATCTCTCATTTAATATGTCTAATATAAAACCTGAGTCACGGCATATTGCAGGAAGCGCTACTGCCAATTCTTTGAATAACTTATGAGAAAGAATGGCATCAAAAGTTTCCGATTTGCAAGAATTTATAAATATATTTTTATGATAACTACGTTAATGTCTAAAAGATGACGTCTGTGTAAATAGGTTCGATTCTTGCTTTGTGTAAATACATTTAATGTATAATTACATTCAGAAAACATTTAATTTAGGTTTTATTGTAAGTATCACGCACTGGCTTCGCAGATAAGATGAAACGCATAATTTTAAATCCCACATTATCTTATACAATTGGAATACTAATTAGGAACCTTCTATAGTCAATGCAAGATAACCCACCAAAACCATCTATACAGATAAATAAAATTGAAGTGTCTGTTTGTAATGTCAAAAGACCAGCGTTTTACTAAATGCATATGAAATTATATATGTATACGGTACTTATAAGAATATCACTTGTTTTTTTTTTAAATTTTTGTCTGTCTGTCTGTCTGTTTGTTCCGGATAATCTCTAAAACGGCTGGGCTGATTTTAACGGGACTTTCACTGGAAGATAGCTGTTAGTTATAGGGAGTAACATAGGCTTTTTTTAGAAAAAGAATTAGGGTTCCACTCAAAAAATTAAAACATACCTAAGGACGAACAATCATCCCATTTTCCCATTAATATTTTAAATGTGAAAGTTTGGATGTATGTTTGTTACTCAATCACGCCAAAACGACTGGATGGATCTGGATGTAACTTGGCACACCGATAGATTACAGTCTGGAATAGGTTATAGGTTACTTTTTATCCCGAAAAAATGTACAGTTCCCGTGAGATAGATTTGTTTTCGTTTTTATTTTTTTCCTAGTTTCGATATATATAATTATATATTAATTTATGTAGATATACGAGTGTGAGGATTTTGTATCTATTTGGTCATATTAAATATTTTTTCTTACCTTAGACTTAGTGTCAGTCGTAGCACTAGTGGTATGTTTCACAAGGATGCTGATGTCAGTTTTACGTTCGAGCTGCTGCTTGGCCATTTCCACCTCCTTCTTCTTCAATTCGAATACTACTTGAAATAAGTCTCTCATAGCTATAACTACCTGTGAAGTAATGAAAGGCTGAGTTCTTTCAAGCTATTGCTGTTATTCTTTGACTTTTTGAAGCTTTGTTTTTTATGACACATATACCTAATACTTTCTGAGATTTACGCGAATATTTGACATTTTAAATAAAACTATCTTTCGGATTTTTTCGCGAATTTATTTTGATTTTTGGTTCCCAACGTTTCGAATGCGTTACAGCAATCATGATCACGGGAGAGATTAAGGTTTAAGAAGTCTCAAAGGCAACACTAAATAAGATTACTAACAAAACAAAAATTTTACTAAATTCTGATACAAATAATACATTATTACACTATTATTGCTCATTAAATTTAATATAATTTAAATTAACATATAGGAACCATGAATAGATAGCACTTAAAACATCATAATTATAATTTAAAAACGCGTTAATTAATAGTTGTGCAACTCGAGTTTAGTTATATTCGTACGAGTATGAACACTGTAGAATGACCAAAAATATGGATTATTATATACTTTCTTAGATTTACGCGAATATTTGACATTTTAAATAAAACTATCTTTTCTACTTCTTAGTCTACTTCTTCTTGTCTTGCGGGTGCCATCTGTATGAGAATGACACCCATTAATTAACCAAGTATCATCCACGCTAAGTAGTCCCCCTCGAAAATATACTTCTCACCTCTCTACCCTCCCAATTTTAGACGAACGTATTCATTTTACGAAGAAATCAAGAAATATGAAAAAAAGATCTTACTTATCCTATAGATAATTTCACCGCTTACGTATTAGTCGCAAAACAAAGTTATGTTTTATATAGAATATATTTAGACAATTGGCTGTATCCTTTCTGTTCGTAATGCTCTTGGATTGCGCACGCGATAATGTGATTATCCTATCAGTTTATTGCAGTGACTTAGCGGACTTAAAAAGACAATGACCCCTCCGATACAGTCATATGGTTGAACTTAAACATGTCCGTGTAATCAGACACTACATATCGCACAATACAATAAAGTAATCTAATAATCTCACAGTTAGTCAGGTCGTTGTTCGTTGAGTGCGGTTTGATTCCGGGTTGATGAAAAAGTTGGTTATATTAAGGAAAAAGAAAATATGTGGCTTTGCTATAGAAAAATAGGGGTTTTGAATAAATTAAACTATGAAAGGTTATGGATATATACAGGCAAGAGATATCTCTGGCTGGCCTCTGTGATATGCGAGTATAAAGGTACCCATTTATTATGCCAAAGTGATTTTAAAAGACAATTTCGTAACCTAAGACTAATTTATAAAAATATGTTTGAACAGTTCAATATAACAATAACTCACTTGACTAGCTGCTTTATCAGTCTTGATACCAAAAAAACGGTGGCCTGTGTCTGGAGATCCGAATATGTAGCCGAAAGCGCGTGAATCCGTCATGTCTTGCGCAATGAACGATATCTTGTGAACTGGATGATGGTATAGAGAATCCTAGAAATAAAATTATTTACTAAACTTAAAAATCAAATTGTTTTTCTTAGTCCTGTTGAAAACCTTTGATTGTTTTCTATGAGATTTTTCGTTATTTAATTTAATCTAAGTTTGCAGTTTAAATTAAACAATTAGATTTAGAATAGTACATGGTCACCCTATCATTTCGAGAATTGCGAAGTGAGATGTTAATAGTGTTTAAACGCCGCACCCATAATTGAAAGGGCTGGGCTTTAATGAACAAAGACACAACACCCCAGTTTATAGTCTACGATACACAGTTCATAATGGCGTTATAAAATATAAATAAACGTTTTCAGACTTTAATTAGATTTAGAAATTCATAGACTTCTTAATGTTACGATAGACATACTTCTCAATAGTAGATACTATATAGATATTTATTGTAGGTACTTATATGAAATAATTTATTTGAATTCAACGTTTTAATGGTCGTAAACCATTTAACTGTTACTGCAGTCAGTTTATGTAACAATATCTATAAACTGGTAAAGTTTGTGAGGTTGTGAGGTTGTAAGGGGTAATCTCTGGATCTACTGAACCGATTTAGATGAAATTTGCTAAGAAGATAGTTTGAGACGCTGGGAAGGACATAGGATATTTTTTATCCCGGAAATCATCCCTTAAGAGGGTGTAAATGGGGATGAAAGTTTGTATGAGGAATCAACCTAGAAACGAACGAAAGTAATACAAATAAATATAGAATAGAAAGAATATATCTTTATAGATAGAATAGAATATATAAATATAATTCTGCGGCACAATATTATGTATGTCAATTGTTCATGTTTTGGTCAACTTTGTAAAAGTATAGCTATAACATTAGTCTTTCTATTTATAGATATTAACATCACTTTGCATATAAGCGATGCATATAAAGAAGCACCGCTGGGATTTAAATATTTATAAGTGCATAACACAACTTCACCTCTATGCAAATTATAATAATTTAGTAAATACAAAATGTTAAATGATTTTATTTCGTATTACACTATTGCTTTTTACAATAATAAAGCTCTGATTCTTATATAAAATGGCTACTTGAAAGTAGCTGTCGCAAATTAACTTATTTATATTCAACTTACACCAGTTTTATCATCGCGCAGGCGAAGACCGTCGATGGCTACGTGGACCTGTATTCTCTGCTTATGTTCTCCCGCGGCCCGGATCGCCATCTTCAAGTCAGCCAGCGCCTCTTGACACATTCTATCTCCACGCGCTTCCGGCACCTCGAGGACGCCGATTAGTTTCGCACGAAACGAAACGCCCTCGCCGAGAAAGCGACCCGGCTCGTTCTTGTCTGCGAGAGGTTCATAAATGACTATAGAATAACAAGGTTAGCATGTTCTCAGGTAGAATGGTTTTCGATTTTGTTAATAAATAGAAGGAAAATCTTATAAGCTACAAATTTCACTAAGTGGTATTTGAAGGTAGAATGACGAAATAAGTTTAGGATTTTGGCATAATATTGCTAAAGTTGATATAGACATGTTATGTAGGTACTTATTTAAATGTAAATATTCACAACGAATGTACAAAAGATGAGTCAAATTAATTATATTACTCAGTAATATAATTAATTTGACTCCGTCAACTCTGACTCGATATAAGAGTACTGAGTAGGTATTGTTTTGGACATGGACTTGGCAGATCTTCGTTTATATTTTTTCAGATTTAATAAAGGACATTGTTAGTCTGTCTGAATTCTGTATTTCTGAGCGAGTTGGCACAGAATATACATTAAATTTTTACGACTTATTTAACGATCAGGCCAGCAGTTCTGCCTCTATCACTATGTCTGTTCACTTGATACGATTTTGCAGCAATTTTATTCTACTAATCACGATAGCATAAATATTTTGTTAAGCGCCATCATTTGACCAAAAACTATTTATTAGTCGTGTCAAGTTTGAATGAAGGAAAATATAACTAATTTAAAGCTTAAAAAAATAAAAATAAATTTTGAAAGAATTTGCAGACTTGAGCCGCGATGAACACTTCAATAGTTATAGCCTCGGGATCATGACAGTATAAAAAAAATTTTTAAGAGTCATTATTGTTGGGTCACGAGGAGGTGGAGATGAGGTCGAGTGTGAAATAAAAGTTAGCTGTCCTATTTCAGTCCTTGTTAATGGTTCACCACGGACTATGTAATTGAATTTCCTGCTTTTAAATTTAGACTGTACAGGCGGGGACTGAGCACTCTGATACCGGAAACTATCCTTATCCCAATGTTCTAGTTGCCTTTTACATCTCCCACAAACATAAACAACACTGAATGAAATATTAGTAAAAATATATGTCCTAAAAATTTCCCAATACTTGATACATTTTATTTAGGATTAATCGACCTTAAACCAACCACGTTTCGTATGACGATATATATGGAAAATTAATCTTAATAAAAATGATGTATGGCTGCTCTGAATATTAAGTATGTTCATTGAAGAGTTAAATTACTTTTCCTGTATCATGTTTTTATTGATTTAGCTCGTTAATACCACAGTATATAGCAGTTGGCAGTGTTTTATGGGGTTTCTTAAACAGTATCGTTTAACATTCATTATTGAATTATACACATGGTTAGAGGTGTTTTTTATAAAGTTGCATTTAAATTTTGACTCACATATTCATTATATTGCTATTTTACGTGCAAATTGTATTATATACTTAATATATACATACTATAGTGTGTACTTGTAGTGTACAGTAGATATAGTGTCATCATTATTTGTTATGATGATTGTAGAGTATTTTTGCAAAGTCCATCGAAAATTCAAGATAAGATGTAAATTGATAAGAATGTAACGGTACTGTGATGTGGTTGTACTGAATTATCTATCTTAACAAATTTGAATTATTATTATTATTTACTCTGAACGATATATCATACGCTCGCTATAAAAGTACAAAGTTTAAAATAAAATCAAATCGGATGTAGAGATCAGATAAAACAAACTGATACCAGAAGTTGAAAATTAATATTAAAAATTATTAATATTAAAATAATTTTGATATTAAAGGTAATTAATTATATTTCCTAATTATATTATACACATACCAACATTCAAATATAATACAATTAATGAAATGAAATAATAAAATGCAAAAAGAGAACTAGAATAATAACAACATAGTCTACAAGTCCAGGTCATGGTGAGACATGGTCACATGATAGAGACTAAAAGGGGATCATTCATAGCTAATCAATCTAACTAGTGTGAGCGTGAAATGCAATATGATCCCAGTACTCACCGAACTGCCGCAAGAGGTGCTGGAAATGACACACCTGCATTATCCCGAATAAACTGATAAAAGTTAGTTACTACTCCCCCGCCGCACCACCGCTTCACCGCCTGGGCCCACAACACACCCTCTGTTTAAAACCAGGGTTTACTAATTATATGATATGCCTAGCAGATAGCTGGGTGACAGTTAGTACAGTGATCATGGCCGGATCATGCATGCATGTTAACGAAAAATAACGCAAATTATACAATTTGAAGCGAGGATGCCCTAACTTGTTCCCTTGCGTTAGCGCTAAACTCTAAATACCGCATGACCTCAAACATATTGGAATTAGAAAAATCCTGTGAAAGCTTTTCGTGACACGCAGTCGGCACTCACATTTGCAAGGGCTGGTTTTCTTACGGAGGGTTTGCATCGGAAAGTCAGTCGGTAACTTGTGATTGAACATCGGGAACTCGCCTTATTGACCTTTCGGCCACACTGTAAAGCAAATACACTTCGCATTCACTCGCGATTTATGCATTTGATACACTGTTCACAAAGTTAGTCGAATGCAATACACGAGTTCTACTGGGAGATTTATTGATTTTTACGGTGCCATCGCGGCCGGTCCGCGAATATCGTCGCGGTAGAGTAATTCACATCTCGCGCGAGTCACATTTATGCACGCATAATGAGATAACGATGGTTGCGATGAAATAGAGCATTAGTGTTTATAATAGTTTCGGTCGACACAGGACGTTCCCGGCCCGCTCGCTGGCACATAGACAAAACACGCACGCACATTAGCGTGCGCACCGCCCGTGCCCGCGTCTGTGTGAGGGGTGCGCATACTCGCGCACTGCAACCCTTGATCAATATTCGCCCCCGATCTCTTACAACTTTCACGATCCCGTCAATGAAATTGTTACCCGGCCTATGTTCGGTTCTACGTAAATGCGCTACAAACGGATTGCTATAAACTGATGAAATTGGACTGTTTTCTATATATAAATATTTATTTTGAGAATTTTTCACTTTTCTTTTTTAAATGTGACGTAAATGATATAATTAATTTTACATACTCAGATTTTTTTTAATTAATGCTCTGTAATAAAATTATGGGTGTATTTAACATATTTTCGAATTATATACTGTTATTAACATGGATGTACAAAGCAATTATCTAAAAAAAAACTTATAAGACTTTATTAGAATATTAAAGATTTATTACAATAATTAAGAATTTTAATTTGTGTTTTTTGCATTAAAAAGAACAAAGTAATTTTCTTTCCTACAATTTAGCAAGTATATAATTATTTTTTATAATATTTCATTATGACAGGCAAGATATAACTCTCACTAAAATATTCAAATATCATATCCCAAGGATTATTATTGAATTTTATTAGCCCCTCCAATTAAAAAAATAATACCTATGGTTGTTTTAATTATTAGAAATGTAAGAAATAATAATATTATTTGAACACTTAAACTTTAACAAGGAAGATAAGCTTATCTATGCACCATTATCTTGCTATGGACTAGACATATGATAAAGATCAATGTATTTTACTAACAAGCTACTTAATTATATAACAAGTATAAAACTATAAGTTAATTTAAAAGACATGTTATTTATTTATATAATTAAACATATAATATAAAATTATTTTGCATTGGTAGTAAAACACGCCTATTAAATATTATTTTAGATCAATAACATTGTCAAGATTCCTAGTAGAAGAAACAAAGGAAGCATAAAGTCTATACACAAATATCATTAATATAACATGCACAATGCACATGCAAATTTATTAATTAGTTTTAATTTTTACCACATATCAAACCTAAAAGCTTATCTATACTAATATTATAAAGAGGTAAAGTTTGTGAGTTTGTGAAGTTGTAGGGGATAGTGTCTGAATCCACCAAACCGATTTAGATGAAATTTGGTAAGAAGATAGTTTGAGACCCTGGGAAGGACATAGGTTTCTTTTTATCCCGGAAATCATTCCTTAAGGGGGTGAAAATGTAGATGAAAGTTTGTATTTGGAAGCTCAGTACATTTTCAAATACTGTTAAAGCAGATATAAATTTATAAAATTAATATGTTACAGAATTAAGGAAAATAACAGATTTTTAGTAAACTGTCATCATGGTCATTTTGAATATCAAATAGTAACTTTTACAAAATATTTGTGTATTAAACATAATTTCCAGTTACATGCTGCAATAGCTGCGCAAAGTACATAGTGATGATGATAGCTTTAAAAATAATTTTCTTCCTAAAAAGAACAATGATAACTTTTTATTTAAACTTTTTTTATTTTTTTTCTCTACAATTAATTTTATCTAGCTCTACTTGTTTGCAACTTACCTTGATTTAACCAAACCACAAAAAGATACAAGGTTTTAAAATTAAAATGTATATTTCTACAATAATATAATTAAGTTCAAATACTTTGGTATATAAAAATATTAGGAGAAGGTAAAATATTTTTTAACATGATATTATTTATAGAAGTTACAATAAATGTTTAACTGAACGTCTACGTTATAAGCCGTTAAAGATCTAATACTTACATATCTTAACAGCCATAGCATCTGTTGACTGTTAACTTAAATCTTGTCTGTTCGTAAAAAATATCTGGAACAACGAATATTTCTATTTCACTATGAATTAAACACAAACTGAGTACAACAAAACGGAGTATATTCTGGTCTTGTATACGTTTTCTTCCACTTTGTGCGTGTAGGTCCTTTAATATATAGCAGTAATCGCAGTTTATAATAAACTAAAGCGATCAACAACCTCTAAGTTCGTCCTTCTCCTTTGACATCAGAAAATGTAAATATTTCATTGTCTTTTGACATCACCGCTAAGACAAATTTATGAATTACAGATAATACAAAGTCTATAAAACAAGGGAATGAAAATAAAAAATATATATTATACGTCTTATGAATGGACGGTTAAGGGATCCATATTTTTAAATTTAAATAAAATAGCGAATTCTTAAACTTTTTTTTTAATTATGTTTTTTCTAAGTACCAGAAACATTTTAATTTATCAGTTCGTTTTAATCAAAGTTCATTAATATTGGCTTCATCTGTTTCTCAAATGTTGATTTCGTTATCAATTTACCTATTTTGTTATGTCAACAACACTATCGTCTATCGGTGTCAAATGTCACAACTCTTGAACTCACAGTTGACACTTGACAGTCAATCATACAAAAATCGTTCAAATATTTACCTGGATTTTACACTTTTTAATTTTTAACAATTTTTAATAAGAAAAACAGTTGTTAATCAATACTATGAGTGTCCTATATAGATATAAGAATTTTATTTTTATAGATCATAAGGAATTTATTACAAAAATATACGAAAATGTAGATAGAAATTCAGAAGATTCACAAATAGTTGAGAAACAATGTTTTACAATAACACGGAGAATATTTTCTATTAGAAACAATAAAGAAAAATACTTTGAAACAAAAAAAAGAACACGCGAAAGTGACAAAATTCTAGACGAAGTAAGTAGAAATTAGAAGTAAATAGTGTCCTGTGTTATATTTATTATAATTTTAATAATAAGACTTACTATATATTTAACAACATAGTGTTTTAGGCATCTAAAGTAAAGCAGATGTACCATGAATTTATTCAAAATATTCCTTTGAGAACAAAAAAGGATTTAAATTCTTGTAACTTGCTTGAAACATCAGATGTAAGAGACCTTGCAAAGAAATACTTTGAATCTACAGTATTTGATCATAATGGGTTAAGTGGAGGAAATAATTCAGAACTTGCTTTAAAATGTAAAGTGAAAGATGATTACTTTCTCTTTCCAAAATACTCAAAGTATGTATCGTAAATGTTCAAATATATTAAATAAATTATGTAGAATTATTAGGTGTAAACTATATTACTGATTTCAGATTTTTTTGTGGTTGTGTAAAGGAACAATGTAAAAATTTGATTGGTTATAAGTATGACATAGTAATAGCTGATCCTCCATGGTGGAATAAATACATAAGAAGGTTGAGACATGCCAATGATAAATTAGGGTTTGTACTTTTCTTACTATTGTACAATATGTAAAGTAAAGCATTATTAATATTTCATTGCAATTATGGTTTATTTCAAAAGGACAAGATATACTTAAAAAATGATATCACTATATTATTAATTAAAGTCTCAGCAAGTACTGTACATTTTTTTATGGTTTTCAACAAAAGAAAAAGGGATTGTCTAGAAAAGTTATATGGGCTATAATTTATGAACATTTTGCAAAAACAAACATTTTGATTTTTAAAGGAAATTAATTTGTGAATTATTTTGAGAAAACTGAGAACCTCTTCTGTTATATTATAAATGTGAAAAATATTTAGGGTAATCTCTCTAAAAATGAAGACAACAACTAAAAATCTAAATAGAAAAGGTAAAAATAACCATAATATTCAAACGCTTTGAGCTTATTTTTAATTAATAGTTAATAGTTCATTATATAATGATTTAATTAATTATTGATATTTTCATCTCATTTTTCTTTCAGCTATTCAATGATGTATAATGAAGATATAGCCTCAATACCAGTGAAGGAACTTCTTTCAGACAACTGTATAGTTGCTGTATGGTGTACAAATGCACCAAGTAATATATCTGCGATAAAAAACATAATATTTCCAGCTTGGGGTGTAGAATATATAACAACATGGTATTGGTTAAAAGTGACTGTAGATTTAGAACCCCTTTGTGATTTTGGAGTGGGATGCAGAAAACAACCATATGAAAGAATAATATTGGGAACAGTTGGTAATATGAATGTACCAAAGGATTGTTTAGTCACAAGTATTCCTAGTGCATTGCATTCACACAAACCACCATTATTGGGTAAATACTAAATATACTATTTTATTTAGGCATTTAGTAGTTATAAGAGTTATTTTTACCATCTTCTTTTTCTTTTGTATTTTTTTCTCTGTTAGAATTTACATCACTATTGGGTAAATATACTATTTTATTTGGGCACTAAGTAGTTATAAGAATTATTTTAACCATCTTATTTTTCTTTGGTAATTTTTTCTCTGTTAGAATTTACATTTCTGTACACTAATATATACTTCATTTCAGATTTATTGTCACCATATGTTAATAAAGACAACCCACAAATCCTGGAGCTATTTGCAAGATACCTTCTTCCTAATACAACAAGTGTTGGATATGAACCTTTAAAATGGCAACATGTATCTTTGTATGAAGAAAGCTAATAAACAAATAATGTTATATTACAAAGTTTCATTATAGCATTTATTATCTACAGTACCAGTTAGTTCGTTTTTAGTACTAATACCTACTCTGTTTGGTGTGAGAGTAGGTTAATGCCGGATCCACATTCTTGCCAAGTCTCGACAAGTCATTACAAATTCATACATGTGGAGAGGATGGTGCAGCTTGTGTAGGTTTGCAAACGCTCATGGCCGTTCCAATAGTGTAGTTTTTGTACACAAACCATAGTAAATTTTAATTATTATATTAAAAGTCCCAGTGATGCACCCACACATTTGTACATTTGTGAAGGTTTGAAGATTGTGGCAAATGGCAAGAGTTTGGATCTGGCATCACATTGTTCAAAAAAATATAATATGTAATTGTGTGAATGTATATTATTTGTATTTCTTGCATGGTAATAAAATGACTGACAGAAATTGGTCACCAATCTCATTGCGATTTTACTATGTACTGGCCAAATATTATAATGCACAGCTTTGTTCGAGGACTTTGATGCACTTTCTATTCTTTTCTTCGTCCTCATATTCCAGCGGATACACAGAGTCTATAGAGTCCGTGTAGTCTATAGAGTCCTATACAATAGACAAGTGATCAGATGCAGAAGGAAGCATACTTTTATTCAGTTGGTCAATAAATGATTCGGGTTTAAGATTTAGGGATATGGATAGCGATTAAGAAAAAAAAATGTAAATATAATACTTATTTATTAACATGATAGTTACATTAGACATAATTTATGAATTACCATTAATAACAATGGTAGTTTTATTTTTCTTCTTCGGGTATCCATCAGGGTTCATTGTCTGCCATCGCCAAAAATCAGTGCCTGAAAATAAGTTTATTTAATATTTTTTTAAGTGAAAAAATATGATACTATTAGTGTAAAAATAAAAAACTTTTAGTTAAATTACACTTTTGTTAATAACCACTTGTGAAACCACGTATAAAATTTAATAATAAAAGATAATAATAATGTTTTAACGAACGATTTCGGCCACGGCGGCCCATCTCATTTAAAACTACTCCTGTCACTCATACTCCGGTCGGAAGACTACTCCACAAAATAAATATACTTGGCCCTACCCAGGACTCGAATCCAGGACCACCGGTTCTGCAGCGTACGTGCTAGCCACTACCCACTGAGGCAGTTAATCTATACATTTAATAAAATTATAACCAAGCCGAATCTGTACATTAAATATTTTTTGCAAAATCTTATTGAAATAAACATTACTATCAATAAAAAAGAAGCCAAATCTATAGTTGGTAAATTTTTTGTCTATCTGTCTGTCTGCCTGTTACCGCATCACAAAATAACCACTGGAGGGATTTTGGTGAAATTTATATTAATGCTAGTTAAATATAATTAGGAAGCAAATATAAATTGAGTGATTACGTACACATTTCTTCGACGGACCGTTTGGTGGTCCATCCTAACTCCTCCTTGGCTAGCGTAGCGTCCGCCCACATAGCAGTAATATCGCCTAGTCTCCTCGCAACGTATTTCAGTGGTATCTTAGTGTTAGTGACACGTTCAAAGACTCCCACTAACTCTTTCACTGATACCCCTCTACCTGTGCCTAAGTTGAAAACCTGAAAGTTTTATTATCTTGTCATATTACTCGGGTATTTTGAAAATTGACGTTTTTATACTACTACATACAGCTAGAATATGTAAATATAGATGTAGTTACATTCAATTATATTTTTATAATTATTTATTTATTATCTATACTAATATTATAAAGAGGTAAAGTTTGTGATCTTGTGAGTTTGTGAGTTTGTGGGTTTGTGAGTTTGTGACGTTGTAGGGGGTAATCTCTGGATCTATTGAACCGATTTTCAAAATTCTTTTACCGATAGAAAGCCACATTCTTTCCGAGTGTCATAGGCTATATATTAACCCGAAGAATAAAAAGGCTTTTTCATGGTAGTCGGATTTGCAAAGTAAGTCGGAGAAAAAACGGTCGTACGAAAACGTTTCTTACGAACGCTGCCTTAACCATGAGAGATATATGATTATGTTCTAGAGAAAAGTTGTAGAGCTTAATAATGCCTACAAAAAAGTCAGCGACAGCATATGTCTAACTTTTATATTTGAGTCACAAAAAGTACTTTTTTATATTAAAAAAATAATTTAAAGTAGGTCATGTTTATTGGTCATATTAACGACAATTATGAATTCTTATCAAAATAAGTAAGTTTATTGTCTAAAATGTTTAAAACAAAAGACTTTTCTCTTTTACTGCATATAATTTGGACAAATGGTTAAAGAGATAATACAACATATTCGTAGGTATGCACGAGCCCGAGCGAGCTGTTTGTCTGTTTTTCTGTTTGTACGGGTTAATCTCCGAATCTATTGGACCGATTTAAATGAAATTTTGCATGGTGGTACCTTATATCCCCGGGCAACATCTTAGATACTTTCCATCCCAGAAAATTAAAGAGTGCTGCTCTCTGGGATAGTTAAAAAACTATAACAACTTATACAACTTAGTACACAACAACTTATGCACCTAATTTAGTAAAACTTGGCATGCTGATACCTTGTATTGCCAGTCAAACAACAGGTTACTTTTCATCCCAGAAAAATGAACGGTTCCCGTGGGATAGATTTGTTTGTGCTTTTTATTTTTAAAATAAGAAAAAGTTATAACTTTGATGTGTCTGTGTGTGTCTGTTTCTGGCATCGTAGCTTCCAAACGCATGAACCGATTTTGTTTTATTTTATTTGAAAGGTAAATTAGTCGGAAGTGTGGTCAATTTTTTTTAAATTTTTAATTTATCAAAATTCAAAAAAAATCAAAATCAAAATATTTTATTAAGTAAGACTTTAGTAAGTAGGTAGTTCATAAAAAATGAGTAAACTCATTTAAAGTAATAACTCGAAACGTTAAGCTTAATAGTAAATTACGCTACCTATGCATCAAACTATAACGAATATTAGTGAAAAAATAACCAGTAAACAATATTTAAAAGATTTTTTTATATTTGTATTTTTTTTTAATTTAGTTAAACAACGTTAGTGGCATATTTTTTGTTATTAAATAAGTATTTTTTATTTAAACACTATGTGCAATTTAAACACAAACCTTGAGTCGACCGTGAGTTTCATTTAGCAAATTTAAAGCAGCCACGTGACCACTCGCCAAATCCATTACATGGATGTAGTCTCTGATACCTGCATAAAATTTTTACCTATAATTTATAAAACGATCATAATATACTATATAATTTCAAAGATTGTTTTGCAATTATTTTTGAGGATTTGACAAGTACATTTTTTGATTGCTTTGATAAACCAATTATATAAGAAAAATGAGAAGATGGAGGAAAATGTTTAAAATATATAAATAAAAAGAATATAAATACAGAGTAAACGTAAACATATAATAGACCCTCATGATTCATGATGACTGCAATGTAATGACTTCATATGAATATTCGTGACCATCTTTCACGCACGAGCAAGGATCATTTTAATTCGTCTTAAATTAAAGTATAGCCATATATAAAATTCATTAAGCATAGGTAAAGTTGTGCTACATCACTAACCGCTTATTAAACTATATTAAAATAAATCATAATTGCACAAGTGGGTGTCAGCAACACTAGTGCATTATCCTATAATACGAGTATATAGGTATTAGTTTTAGTACTTTATAAAAGTCCACAAGACCGATAATAAAAGAGTTGACTGCTGTAAAGCATTCGAAAAGTCGGGAACCAAAAATCAAAATAAATTCGCGAAAAAACCCGAAAAGATAGTTTTATTTAAAAAGAAAATACTGTTTACGCGTTTTGTCATGAAGGAACAACACTGCCAATTTCCCAACCCTTGGGGTTCTTATCCACTGAAAATTCCTTGATAGAAATCCTAGTAACTATATTTGGCCTCACCCGGAATTTGAACCTAGGATCAGTAGCCGTACAAGTTAGTCACTAGGCTAACGACGATATATTACATAATACATAGTATTTAAAACTTATACGTACATAGAATTTCTCCATTAAATGGTCCTAACTTAGTCATCTTATAGTAGCCAGTATTAGTCATTTTTTTAAATGAAAAAATAAATAAAAACGTATCTTATACTAACCTGTCCCATCAGGCGTATTATAATCATCCCCAAATATTGTGAGTACAGGTTTCTTGCCGAGTGCCACTTGAGCCATGAATGGCATGAGGTTTGTGAACTCTTTAGTGGGGTCTTCCCCGATCAGACCAGAGGGATGGGCGCCGACCGGGTTAAAGTATCGAAGTGATATTATGTTCCATTTCTGTAAAAATGTTAAATAGCTAGAACTATAAATTAGTTACAGGGTAAATTCATGTTACTTTCATGTTTTTAAATTCAGTGTAAGTCCTAAAATTAGATACTTATTGGTAAGTGATTTTTCAAAATTCATTGTAATCCATACTAATATTATAAATGTGGAAGTGTGTTTGTTTGTTTGTTTGTTTGTTTGTTTGTTTGTTTGATTGTTTGTTTGTTTGTCCTTCTTTCACGTGAAAACGGAATGATTGATTAGCATGATTTTTTGCGTGAAGATAGTTGGAGAGCTGGAGACTCGGAGAGTGATATAGGCTACTTTTTACCGCAGAAGATCATCTACTTCCCACGGGAAAACACGTTATAATACAATCCAAAAAAATATTTATGATCACAATTACTTGAAACTTGATATTAATGCTCTCCAATACAATTTAATAAACACGGCATTTTTTGAAATTCATCTCATATAGGGGCAAAATAGGGCATCAAAGTTTGTATGAAGCCTACTGTTCATTCTCCATTCAATTACGTTGGGTTCAATCCTATTTGAATGTCACGCGGCGGACCTGGCCAATACCAAGGTTCACGTAATGAACATACTGATCGTACTGCATTTTGATTGGTTCCGGGCTGGAATGAATGGTGATGTGTTGCTACCGGTACAGGCGCCGCTATAAAATTCGTTTTCTATTTAAAATACGCCCCACTCGTCTATTCCTGCTCTAAGAGAACACGCGAACCACATACAACCCTTAACTCGAAGTGAATTCAATAGTGTGAACAGTGTCGCGTCCATATACCAGCTTATAGCACAAAGTCTGTGCTGGGCTGCCCAACTTAGCTCCGCCGCCATCCACGAAGATACGGCGTTAAACCTCGACCAGGCACCTCGGCTTGGATTGCCACAGTACGACCGGTAAGTGCTTGTTGTTGTCCAGGCCCATTATGCGTTTCATTTGAATATCGTTGAACCGAGCGTTTTATCGGCAGAACATCCTGTTCTGATCCAGAGTGTCGTCACCGGACCCTCGGCAGGTCCGTGTCGCCACAGTTTTTGGTGCCGAAACCCGGGAACAAAGGTGCCTAGTTATATCGCTTGCCGTATTTGAATTCGTTAATATAGCTGGTATTTTTTGTCCGTAAAGTAATAAGTATACTACCTACTCTAGTCGAAAGTATTACTCATAATACATAATTTTACAACATTACAAAGCATACTTTTTTGTAATATATAAAATATAAAAATAATCTATACCTACTTTCGGCCATTGTCTCATACATCATACTTAATACTGTACCTTAATACGCTCCTTCACTAACCGACATCTTGTTCACCACTTTTGAATATCATTCACATTCAATTGCAACGTTCACATTTTCACTTAACTTCGTTCGTTATTATTAATAATAAGTTATAAAATCTGCATACAGTTTAAATAATATAACTACCTATCGCAGATGATTCGTGCACTTTCTTATACGTAGAATGTTAGATAGTTACAGATCAAATATAAACAATCTATACATTTATACGGTGTTTATATAATCTTAATCGGCTGTAGTAATTTAATATTCACTAACTCACAACATAACGAAACTCAATCAACGTATTTACATCTAAATATTTGTTCCTTCGCAAGATATACCTACGTTGCATTGTACTCATACACGCCACCGTCGCGCAGTAAGACGCGCATATGACTAATTAGAGAATTGCAAGTTAAAGACAACTTATACGTAGTTATAACTATTATTCGCTTATAACATTATATTGCTTTATTACAGTTATCTCGTAACCATTATATTTTCTTTTTATTTTACAAAATGTCGTTTAATCCAAAACGTAGTAGCCGTAAACTTAATACTTCTAGTAAATCGAAGATAAAACAGACGGGAACAGAATGCTATACTGTTCATGACTTACCATCTCTCAAAAGGAAACGTACTATTGCATTAAATCGTATGTTAAAAGCATTGGAAATCGGTAAGAAAGCAAAAGGCGATGAGGTTCACTGTGACCTTTTTTTCTCGTACTGCGATCAGGCAAAAAAGTTTGTGTCTGAGTTTGAAGAAGCGCATTTCTTTATACTCGAACTTTTGGACTCGTGTGATGGCAGCGTTGATGATGATGACATACGTGCGCGTTTTGACGATGCATACTTTTAAGTCATGGCTATACTTCGTAGTTTAACGAGAGGTGAATTGAATTTATCTGACACGTCTAATATGTCGGCTGGCACGAGTTCTAACATCAAATCTCCTTTGTCTCATGTACGCTTACCGAAAATCCAATTACCGAGTTTTTCAGGCAATATAAAGAAATGGCCTGAGTTTATCGATACATTTAACGCTCTTATACATAATTGTAACTCCATAACGGACGTTGAGAAATTTCATTATTTAATCTCTTCGTTAAGCGGCGATCCGTTTGTCACTTATTCGTGTGTTTCCCGTAACCGGTGACTATTATTCAGATGCGTATGCCGCGTTAATCGCGCGCTATCGGAATACTCGTGAATTAGCTTATACCTGTTGGAAGGATATTTTAAATGTAAATTTGAAAATTCAAAATATAAATGACTTTCGTCGTAGCTTGGACAGTATTGATGAGAATTTGAGTATTTTAAGAAAGTTAAATTTACCTGTTGAGCAATGGGAATTTATAATCGTTTATCATGTTCTATCGAAATTAGAATCGAAGTTGCGCCGGGATTTCGAAGAAAGTTGTTGTAGTTCTGAATTTCCTAAATATATTAATTTAAAAGAGTTTTTACATTCAAGATGTGAAGCGCTTATACGAGATAATCATTTTTCTGAAGCTACTAAAGCCGCTTTTCATGTTGTAAAGGATTCGATTAGGCCTCCTTCTAATATTGTTAAACGTCGTCCTGTTACTCACACATTAGTCTCTAGTCATTCGGATGATAAACTAAAAACTGGAGAAACGCGGCATGACAACTCCAAGGTTATGCCTAAATGCTCGTTTTGCACAGATGCTACTCATTCAATTGCACATTGTAAGCGATTTCTATCAAAATCGGTAGATGAACGCATGTCTGTTGCAAACGAAAAAAGATGGTGCTTCAACTGCCTTAAATCATCTCATCAATTAAAAGAGTGTAAGTCGATTTTCCGATGCCTTAAATGTAAACATAAACATCACACATTGCTTCACAAAGAGCAATCTACCGATACCCCGTCTCGTTCTGTGTCCTTAATCGCCAAGGCCTCTGGTTACGAATTATGTACAAAATCTTCACTAAACACAACTGTTCTTCTTGCTACCGCTATAGTGCAGATAGTAGATGAAAAGGGTCGGTATCATTGTTTTCGGGCACTGTTTGATACTGGCAGCCAAAACAATTTAATTACTTGTGACGCAGCTCGAACCTTAAATATTAAACAAGTACCATGCGATGCAAATATTAACGGTTTAGGTGGAGTGTCTGCAGATGTTAGTCACATGGTTCGTTGTTCACTCGCATCAAACAACAAGGTTTTATTCGATGTTGACATGCATGTCATATCAACTATTTGTGGCGATCAGCCTATTGCTAAACTTAATACGAATGGTTGGTCTCACATTCAATCGTTACCCTTGGCAGATCCAGGTTTCGATATACCTGGGCCTATCGATATTTTGCTTGGTGCAGATATATTCGCTGATTCTCTATTGGACCAATGTATGAAGGGTCGGTCTAATCAACCTGTTGCGATGAATTCAGTCTTTGGATGGCTTTTATTAGGTAGAACACACCTCACATCCTCGTCCTTATTACAATATACAGCCAAATCCGACGAGCTGACTTCTATGGTTCAACGCTTCTGGGAGATTGATAATGTTCCTCAAGCATCAATTCTCACACCACTAGATATGGCATGTGAAAAGGCATATGTCACCGACCATTATCGTGATTCAACAGGCAGATACGGAGTTCAGTTACCTTTTAAGGATGGTATAGAGCCAAAGTTTGAGAATTCTCGTAGTCTTGCTTTAAGGCGTTTCAAGGCCATTGAGAACCGTCTCTCCCGCGATCCGACGTTATATAAGCAGTATTCAGAATTCATGGAGGACTATGAGAAGAGTGGCCATATGACGCTTGTCCCCGTGAAGGAGCTCGGTGAAGGTAAATATTATATACCACATCACTGCATTGTTAAACCAGATAGTAGCACCACAAAACTTCGCGTTGTTTTCGATGCATCGGCCCGAGACGCCAGCGGTAGGTCGTTAAACGACACGCTACTGACAGGCCCTAAGCTTCAGAGTGATATAGTGCAGGTTCTTCTCCTTTTTCGTTTACACGTAGTTGTGTTTTTAGCGGATATACGTCAGATGTATAGACAGATTCTTGTAGCTGATAATCATAGAGATTATCAACGGATTCTTTGGAGGTCTAGCCCTGGTGAAGTTTTGCAGGAATACAGGTTAAATACTGTCACCTACGGAGTCTCCTCTGCACCGTTTCTAGCATGTAGAACTCTTAAACAGCTAGCTGAGGATGAAGGCTCTGCATTTCCTCTAGCAAACCAAATTCTGCATAGCGAGATTTATGTTGACGACATTGTAACCGGTTGTGAGACTCTGGACGAGGCTCTAGAGGCTAAAGCACAAATTATAGAGCTTTTGGAATTAGGGCATTTCCAGTTGAGGAAGTGGGCCAGTAACATACCAGAGTTACTTTCTGATATTCCTCAGGAAGAATGTCTGCTTAGTTCCAAAACATTTACCGGCCATGACTCTTGTAGCCTAAAGGTGCTTGGTTTAAAGTGGGAGCCAACTACCGATACATTTTCCTTTGATGTTAAATCTTCAATCCGACCTTGTACAAAACGAGTTATTCTTAGCGAGATCGCGAAGATCTTCGACCCCTTAGGTTTCCTTGCACCTCTAACCATCAAGGCGAAGTGCCTCTTGCAACGGCTCTGGCTGCTTGGTATCGATTGGGACAGTGATCCACCCGAAGATGTGAATAGCGTGTGGGAAACATTTTGCAATCAGCTGTCTATATTAAAGGACCTGCGTATACCACGGTGTATGACAATTAACAACACTTTAACGTACGAATTACATGGATTTTGTGATAGCTCGGAGCTTGCGTATGGAGCAGTTATTTATATTCGAGTTTCAACTGCAGACGGATTAACACAAACACGATTAGTATGTGCCAAAGCTCGAGTAGCTCCCATTAAGAAAATCTCTTTGCCTCGATTGGAGTTGTGTGCAGCCGTCTTGCTGACAAATTTAGCAAAATTTGTGCTGGATACATACTTAACAAAATTAACGCTCCACGCTATTTATCTATGGTCTGACTCGACCGTCGTCCTATCTTGGCTTCGTTCACACTCCTCTCGATGGACCACGTTCGTAGCTAATCGTGTGGGACATATCCAGGATATTTTCTCTACGGAGGTATGGCATCACGTAGCGTCTTCAGACAATCCTGCGGATATTTGTTCACGTGGGAATCTTCCTTATGATCTATTTCATAACTCATTATGGTGGTCAGGGCCAGTGTGGCTAGTAAAACCGTCCGATCAATGGCCAACCAATAGAAAAACTTCTCAATCTTATAGTTCTGAGGACGAAAACATCGTAAGAGCTGAAGAGCGCCGTACAGTTGTTTTGGCTACTTGTTCAGAAGATGAGTATGGCACTCTTATCCTCAATTTAATAAAATTATATTCGTCGTTAGAAAAAATAATGCACATCGTTTCTTATATTCGACGATTTATACATAATACGAAAAATCCACATGATCGTCATAGAGGCTCAATTCTAACTGAAACCGAAAATCATAACTCATTGTTATTTATCGTGAAATTTGTCCAATCTTCGTCATTTGCTGGTGAAATTCAACGGCTTCGAGCAAAGCAACCACTACCAAAACCGTTGCGTAAATTAAATCTGTTTCTGGATGAGGATGGTATTCTCAGGGTGGGCGGTCGGATATCCCGTGCTGGTCTTGAATTCGAACACCGACATCCCGCTCTTTTACCTAGTAATCATGAATTTACTTATAGGGTTATCGAATCCATACACCGTCAACATTGCCATACGGGGCATAATACTACGCACTACTTAATATTGCAACGGTTCTGGATATTGTCAGCTAAACGTGTTATACGACGTTGTCTTTCCCAATGTATTAGATGCTTTAGAACAAAACCTAAATCGTTAGAGCCATACATGAGCGATCTTCCTTCATTTCGTGTTAATCAAGTGAAACCATTTTCTATCGTGGGTGTTGACTTCGGCGGACCTTTCCGTATCAAACAAGGTACACATCGTGGAGCCAAAATAGATAAGGCTTATCTCTGTTTATTTGTATGTTTAGCTACAAAAGCCGTCCATTTGGAAGTCGTATCATCGTTGTCAGCTGATGGATTTTTGGCAGCTTTGCGTCGTTTTGTTGGACGTCGTGGTCGTTGTAATGTGATCCATGCAGATTGTGGAACAAATTTCATAGGTGTGAGCAATCATCTATCCTTACTAAAGAATGCCTTGCATACGGAACGAATTAAATTTGAATTTAACCCTCCGTCAGCCCCTCACTTTGGTGGTGTGTGGGAAATTCAAATCAAAGCGGCCAAATCTCATCTGTATCGCATTATAGGTAATCAGGTTTTAACTTTCGAAGAACTGTCCACGCTATTTGTTCAAATTGAAGCAGTGCTAAATTCGAGACCTCTTTATGCGTTAAGTACCGATCCAAATGACTTAAATGTTCTAACTCCTGGTCATTTCTTGACTTTAGAACCTCTTACGACCGTCCCAGATGTAGATTATACTAATATAAAACTTCATAGATTAACCCGTTGGCAGTTAATTCAGTCCTTCCTACAGAATTTTTGGATTCGTTGGAAAAACGAATATTTACACTCATTAACCTTACGTGCTAAATGGACAAAGACCTCTAAGCCACTCGATGTAAATGCTGTTGTTTTGATAAAGGATGACAATCGTGCTCCATTGCAATGGTCTTTAGGAAGGGTGACGGAGTTGCATCCCGGTCCGGATGGTATCGTCCGAATAGCAACCGTTAAAACTAAGGAAAGCTTGATTAAACGACCTCTTGTAAAGCTATGCCCTCTTCCTATCGAATCGTAATTCACATGATCTTGAGCTATTGTATACTAAACTAACGTTTTTAACATATATCATATTTTATACTATAACATTATCAGTCGTAGCATATATTATTCGTAACACATACATATACAATATACCTTATACTATTATTTATTTTATACTTAGATTATCGTTTTTTTTTATTATTATTTACCTATTAATCTGGAAAATACCAGCTGTATTTTGGTGGGCGGTATGTTCATTCTCCATTCAATTACGTTGGGTTCAATCCTATTTGAATGTCACGCGGCGGACCTGGCCAATACCAAGGTTCACGTAATGAACATACTGATCGTACTGCATTTTGATTGGTTCCGGGCTGGAATGAATGGTGATGTGTTGCTACCGGTACAGGCGCCGCTATAAAATTCGTTTTCTATTTAAAATACGCCCCACTAGTCTATTCCTGCTCTAAGAGAACACGCGAACCACATACAACCCTTAACTCGAAGTGAATTCAATAGTGTGAACAGTGTCGCGTCCATATACCAGCTTATAGCACAAAGTCTGTGCTGGGCTGCCCAACTTAGCTCCGCCGCCATCCACGAAGATACGGCGTTAAACCTCGACCAGGCACCTCGGCTTGGATTGCCACAGTACGACCGGTAAGTGCTTGTTGTTGTCCAGGCCCATTATGCGTTTCATTTGAATATCGTTGAACCGATCGTTTTATCGGCAGAACATCCTGTTCTGATCCAGAGTGTCGTCACCGGACCCTCGGCAGGTCCGTGTCGCCACAAATATAATCACGTTAAAAAAATACTTTTGTCTAAATTTCGTCTAAAATTGTTTTAAATACATTGTAATTACGTCTAGTATACCTCCCATACTTTATTTCCCCAATATACACCGGGAAATTGGAAAATCACAATAATACCTAAACCGAGGTTACTTAGGCGATAGAATTCTTCATACATTATTGCATAAATAAAAATTTTAAAAATGTCTTTCAATCTGCTTATCATTGCATTGTTTTAACTAAATTAGGTAGTTTTAGCTGTATATCTTCCTATTTCTATAGTCTAAGTATAATTAAGTCTTAAATTAAAAAATTTCATTTATATGTATATTATAATCACGTTAAAAAAATATTTTTGTCTAAATTTCGTCTAAAATTGTTTTAATTACATTGTAATTACGTCTAGTATACCTCCCCATACTTTATTTCCCCAATAAACACCGGGAAATTGAAAAATCACAATAATACCTAAACCGAGGTTACTTAGGCGATAGAATTCTTCATACATTATTGCATATATAAAAATTTTAAAAATGTCTTTCAATCTGCTTATCATTGCATTGTTTTAACTAAATTAGGTAGTTTTAGCTGTATATCTTCCTATTTCTATAGTCTAAGTATAATTAAGTCTTAAATTAAAAAATTTCATTTGTATGTATATTATAATCACGTTAAAAAAATATTTTTGTCTAAATTTCGTCTAAAATTGTTTTAAATACATTGTAATTACGTCTAGTATACCTCCCCATACTTTATTTCCCCAATATACACCGGGAAATTGGAAAATCACAATAATACCTAAACCGAGGTTACTGAGGCGATAGAATTCTTCATACATTATTGCATATATAAAAATTTTAAAAATGTCTTTCAATCTGCTTATCATTGCATTGTTTTTACTAAATTAGGTAGTTTTAGCTGTATATCTTCCTATTTCTATAGTCTTAAGTATAATTAAGTCTTAAATTAAAAAAATTCATTTATATATTATAATCACGTTAAAAAAATACTTTTGTCTAAATTTCGTCTAAAATTGTTTTAAATACATTGTAATTACGTCTAGTATACCTCCCCATACTTTATTTCCCCAATATACACCGGGAAATTGGAAAATCACAATAATACCTAAACCGAGGTTACTTAGGCGATAGAATTCTTCATACATTATTGCATATATAAAAATTTTAAAAATGTCTTTCAATCTGCTTATCATTGCATTGTTTTTACTAAATTAGGTAGTTTTAGCTGTATATCTTCCTATTTCTATAGTCTTAAGTATAATTAAGTCTTAAATTAAAAAAAATTATTTATATATTATAATCACGTTAAAAAAATACTTTTGTCTAAATTTCGTCTAAAATTGTTTTAAATACATTGTAATTACGTCTAGTATACCTCCCCATACTTTATTTCCCCAATATACACCGGGAAATTGGAAAATCACAATAATACCTAAACCGAGGTTACTTAGGCGATAGAATTCTTCATACATTATTGCATATATAAAAATTTTAAAAATGTCTTTCAATCTGCTTATCATTGCATTGTTTTTACTAAATTAGGTAGTTTTAGCTGTATATCTTCCTATTTCTATAGTCTTAAGTATAATTAAGTCTTAAATTAAAAAAATTCATTTATATATTATAATCACGTTAAAAAAATACTTTTGTCTAAATTTCGTCTAAAATTGTTTTAAATACATTGTAATTACGTCTAGTATACCTCCCCATACTTTATTTCCCCAATATACACCGGGAAATTGGAAAATCACAATAATACCTAAACCGAGGTTACTTAGGCGATAGAATTCTTCATACATTATTGCATATATAAAAATTTTAAAAATGTCTTTCAATCTGCTTATCATTGCATTGTTTTTACTAAATTAGGTAGTTTTAGCTGTATATCTTCCTATTTCTATAGTCTAAGTATAATTAAGTCTTAAATTAAAAAAAATTCATTTATATATTATAATCACGTTAAAAAAATACTTTTGTCTAAATTTCGTCTAAAATTGTTTTAAATACATTGTAATTACGTCTAGTATACCTCCCCATACTTTATTTCCCCAATATACACCGGGAAACTGGAAAATCACAATAATACCTAAACCGAGGTTACTTAGGCGATAGAATTCTTCATACATTATTGCATATATAAAAATTTTAAAAATGTCTTTCAATCTGCTTATCATTGCATTGTTTTTACTAAATTAGGTAGTTTTAGCTGTATATCTTCCTATTTCTATAGTCTAAGTATAATTAAGTCTTAAATTAAAAAAAAATCATTTATATATTATAATCACGTTAAAAAAATACTTTTGTCTAAATTTCGTCTAAAATTGTTTTAAATACATTGTAATTACGTCTAGTATACCTCCCCATACTTTATTTCCCCAATATACACCGGGAAACTGGAAAATCACAATAATACCTAAACCGAGGTTACTTAGGCGATAGAATTCTTCATACATTATTGCATATATAAAAATTTTAAAAATGTCTTTCAATCTGCTTATCATTGCATTGTTTTTACTAAATTAGGTAGTTTTAGCTGTATATCTTCCTATTTCTATAGTCTAAGTATAATTAAGTCTTAAATTAAAAAAAATTTCATTTATATATTATAATCACGTTAAAAAAATACTTTTG